TACAGAACACAATGTTTACACACACAACACCTATTTTCCATTGAATCAAATATTATTTGTGAGACCCGATCATGCATTGCATACATATTAATATAATTATGTGGACTAATTACAATTATATGAAATTAATTGTTAAATAGAATTTTGTGTATGAAAATAATATCGGGTTGGTTTTGGAATCACCTAAGAATTTGGAGGGAGACAAGTAGAATTATTAAGTTGCATTGAAATATCTTTACACATGTGTCAAATAAAATATGGTGGGTTATTTTTAAAAGTTATATATGTGGGTGTGTGTATGCCAAGTGTTTGCGTGTGTCTTAAGGTGTAGTAAAGTGTGTGTGTGTGTGTGTGTACTGCATGGAACAATGTGTGTGTACTTTAATATGAAGTAAAGTGAATGTATTTAAAAGACAAACAAGTGTGTGTGTGTGTGTTCAGGCTATATGAAACTGTGAGTGGGGCAGAGTAAAAGAGAGGAAGAAGAAAAAAAAAAGAAAAAAGAATTTGGGGGACTCCATGCCAACCAAAAGTAAGAAGGAAACAAGAAGAAGATAAATGTGTATGTGTGTATTCATTTTAGTGTGTGTGTGTGTGATTAATTTTCACTATTTGTGTATATGTGTGGAATTGTTTTAGTGTAATTTCAAAACATATTTTGGTGAGTTTAAATTAAGTGTATGAAACATAATTAGTGGGTTGTTTTGTGTTAAAATAATGGTCTGTTTTATTTTAATTCTAAAACAGATTTTTATAAGTCTAATTTAAGTGTGTGGAACATAATTTAGTGATTTTTAATAGGTCCAATTAAAGGGTTGATTGGCATGAGTTAGGGAGTGTGTGAGTTTAGGTAAAATTGTTTTAAAAGAAAGTATGATAACAATGAAAAATGGGTGTCGGTAATGCCGAAACCCTGATTTCTAAATATTAGTAGCACTTGTATGGAATTTTAATCCAAATGACCTAAAATTTTGCATGCTGCATTTTTAATTGATGCGTGATGTGATAATGTAAATTTTAAAAGCAAATGAATATAATATTCGGTGTGGAATGTACGAAATATTGAAAGTGAAATTTTTGGGATTCGAAGTTGAAATATATAAAAATGGGCCCCTGGTCAAAGTGTTTGACTTACTAAATCTTAATTGTGATGAATGTGAGTGATTTTAAAGATTTGGAGAAAAAAAAATATGATCCATAAATTTAATGTGTCAGTATGTGAGTGAACAGTGCGATAACAAGAGTTATCGGGACACTTTGAGTTGAATCATTTTGCATGCATTAGTGCATGATTAATTATTCAATGTAATCAACATATTAATATTGATGTGTTAGGTGGAACAGGTAGGACAGTTGGTATAGAAACGACTACGAAAACATCGGAAGGATCCACCGATAGAACTGAAGGGCAGTAGATCAGTATATTTGAGGTGGGTGTATATCTTTATATGTTTTGAAAATGTTATTATAAGATGATGTTAGATGATAGAATTTAATAGCATTCTCCAAGATTATGTGTTATGTGCTTATGTAATTGGATAATGCTTTGTATTGTGTATTGTGAAATGTGGCGCACTGTCTGAGACATGAGCGTCGATGCTTGATCACTAGGCGTGCAGTGGTATGCTAGCATTGTGGTGTTCCTGGGAGGTTCGGGAGACACGGATCCATGTGGGATCGATTACCCGATGAGGGGTATTATGGATGTGTTATGACTTGTAAATTCTTGGAATTAGATTGATGTTGTTGTTTGATACGTATATTTACGTAGTATTTGCCTCATTTTGTGTATTATTATCATTTTCATTTCATATACAACATGTATACTCGATGAGTGCGTATTTTACCTCACACTCCTATAGCTTCTCCTTTTCAGGTACAAGAGAGGGAGACATAGATCAGTCCACTGTCAAAAAGGTTGTGTTTTGTACAATGTTAGTATGATATTTTGTTCGTTATGTATTTAGTTTTAAATGAGTAAATGATACTGGTTGAGGGATTGTATAATTATTTGTTGGGTTGTTTATTATGTTAAATGAGAGATTATTATAGCAGGTTAATAATATATATATTTGTAAACAGACTCAACAGGTATACTTTGTGATGTATACTATGTGGGTGTGGGATTTTGTATCTGTCTATAACCGTGAAAACAAACAATTGGTACAAGTATTATATATGGTACAGGTTATGAGACAGGTTTACCATCATGCTTAATAACTAAGGTGATGAGTGGTATTGTTGCACATGTGGGATTAATTAGTGTTTTATTAATCTAGATTATATACATGTAAACAGGTGTATCAAAAACCTAGTCGCGTTTTATCCTTGAGAGACCGGGATGAGGCGTGACATTACTCATTCCATAAATTTCTAAGAGGTTTTCGTAATATTTCATTGAAAGTGTCCTTATAGGTTATCCTAAAAAAAATTTCAATTCAATATCATAAAAAGAGAATAACTCTACATTTTCAGTGGGAAACTCCCTTCATGACCATACTTATACAGCAACAAACTAGTAGTTTGCAACTTTGGCAAAGCATTCTAATCCATACTTCAAAAAAAGTGAAAAAAAACAAAAAAACAAAAAACAAGAAAGGATCCATGAGTGTTGAATGCCCAATGCAGCTGCAGCTTATATTCATTCTTGCTGAAAAATCCCAGAACTACTTATACTACTTGTTGCAATTGTTGGAGCAGGAACTCACACACTCTTTCAATTTATTCTCATCTGCAACATTAGGAAGCCCATAAGAAGTTTGCAATGAAACACTATGCACAAGTCAATATGACGTATATATAAGACCAAAAAAATAAAATGTATATATTTTTGCTGATTGGGTTTAGTGAGGCATTGACAAACCCTAAGCAAAAACTTTAGTAGTTCCCTCTAAATGGAAAAGAGAGCTTGTTGGACAGATAGAGTGAATGCCGGACAGACATAGAGGAATGAGTTACTAATTCAAAAGTAAGAAACCAAGACTAGGGAACCCGTGGTAGGCATAATAAGTAGTTATTATATTTCTTAGACCTCGTTGCCTACCAATGGAAGGGATATCACCGTCACCAAGAATGGAATAGCGCAAAACTTCGTCGTGCCATACACCCTCTTAGTAGCTATCCATACAAGCATATAATGTGTAAAATAAAGGCCAAGAACTAAAAAATTTGAGGGATTGACTCTTCGTAAATGTCATAGTCGATGACGTATAGGCTTTTATTATATAAGTTACATTGGAATTGAAAGATTACAAAATAGAGTATGAACAACGCCCATGACGTTGCAATGGGATTTCCAAACAACCTTGCAAACATACAAGACGTCAAGATAATAGATAATGAATCAGTCGTAGCCTTGAAATCATAATAGAGAAATGAAATCTTTCCTCTCAAATACTTTTATGTTGAAGCTGGTTATATGTACCATCCATTCTTAGCCTTGCCTAAACCATCATGGCCCAATCAGTACCAAAGCTTGATACTAGGGTGAGCCAATAGCAAATAGTCTTCTTCCCTGCTTCCTCAACCTTCTAGAGGATTGCATGTGTTGGATAACCCATAGCCTGTATATGCAACCTACCTGCAGTCTTTTGCCTACTTAATTTGTTTGTTCTTCATATAATTTTTTCCCTTCCCTATTGTTTTTAAGTATTTTCAATTGATCATGAGAAAATACTGCTGTGAACATTTGGGTTGAATCTTAGAGTCATTAATATCCTTGTGTACCTTCACGTAGGGAAATACAACTGTTTTTAGGATTCACAAGCCAGACCAACTCTTTCTAAATTCGTTCATTCTATGTTATTATGTTCTAATGAATTCTATCTTGCCATTTATGATATTGTGCTAGTTAACGCAATCTCTATCCACACACGATGATGCACATAATGGCTTAGAGATATATATATATACACGTACCTGATGTGAATTTGGAGCACACAGAATATGCACAGTCAGATGTACAACCCGAGAAGACGTCCAGAAGTGGCTGCTTGTCGCAGTTTTTCAAGCATTCGGTAACGCACAGAGGGCGTATGCGGGGAAGGCACTTTATCTGGCATTTCATCATGCACCGGTTATCCGCCTTCACAGCAGCAACTTCTCCTATCATGATCAAAATCATCGCCATCACCACAAGCTTCATATCATTTCCCGCCATACCTCTCTCTCTCTCTCTCTCTCTCTCTTGTGGAACCATAGACCATTATTTATAGGCAATGAGGGCGTAGTTAAGGGTGGGGCTACTCTCACGCTCAATCTCAAACTACTAATCTCGTCTATACCCACATGTTAATAACTAAAGTATACCTTGTTTTCTTCTCGCCCATTAACCTCTTCCTATCTCATTTCTCTAACATTTGTGTTTTTTAAGTCATACTTTAAAATTTACTGTAACACACGTAAATAAATTTCGTATACATAATATTAATAAAAAAATATTAAGTATATGTGTACCTAAAATATCATCTCAAGTTTATCATAATTATGTTTGTATCACTCGTATTATATTATAGAGTTTGAAAAAAATTATTTGTTCCCAACGATTTTTTGTTATAGTAAATATAAGAAAAAAAGATAAAAATAATTCATTTGAAAATCATTTGATTTGATTCCTAACTTATAATTTATTGAATAAAATAAAAATGTTTATTAATATTCTAATTAATATTTACTATAATTAAGAATCAATTAGGTCAATAGGGATAAAATATAGGCTTAATAGCACTTTTGGTTTCTAAAGTATATGCTTTATTAATTTAGTCCTCAATATATGGATTTTGTCCATAAAATATTCAATTTTTGTTTAAATGGTCATTAACCAGATGGTCCATTAACTTATTTGATGAAAATGACCACGTGTCATTCGTTTAATCAGTATCATGTAACCAGTACGTGATTACTTATGTCAAAAACTTAACAGAATATGAATTATTTAAACACTAACTAAATACTTTAAGGATCGAATTGATAGAATTGATCAATATATGTATACTTTAGGAATTAAAAGTTCTATTAGCCCTAAAATATAATATACTACTCTATAATATATATTTTAAAACAATATTAAAATTCTAAAATTCAAGTTTTACATAAAAATACACTATAATCTATTTTTATATAAATTTTTAATAAAACATGAAAAGTTTACTATGATTAAAGCATTATGTTGATTTAACATAAATTATATTTAAAAAAAAAAACTATGTGAAAGATTATTTTTTTATCTTAAAAATGAAATGGTTGGAATTTTGGATAAAAAAAAATACATATATGTAAGTATAATATTATCTTTATATTTGAAATGAGTAATATTAGATGGATGAAAAAATTTTAAACGTATTATCGAAAACTGTTATAATGCATATATTTTTTAAATATAACATAATTTAACTATAGAACGATAGATAGTGTTTTATTTAAAAAAATTTATAAGGGTAAAATAGTAAATCAAAAGTTTTTCATTCAACGTATTTTTATTAGTAATATAGATAGATATATATATTATTATTTTTGGCTCTCTATTTTCCTATACATTATTATATTATTCAATGGTATATAAATATCACCAATAGCGCACTTCTTTTTTACCCGTGCCTGTTCCGCATGCGCTTTGCATTTTTGGTTTGGGATGTAATTAAAACGGGCTAACTCGAAATAATTTGTATTTAAAAAATGATTTTTAGTTCTCAAACCTCTTAAGCTTTCTACCATAAATTTTTCAAGTGAAATATATGTTTGTATTGATTATAAGTTAAATAGAATGTTTCATCTACTTTCATTTTATTTTAGGTTTTTAATATTCATTCTAAATAATAAATATTTTATTCTTATATTTTATGTTTTGTTTGATATTTATTAGGAATATCTTAAATGTATAATATTTTTTTTATGCATAGGTGAATATTAATAATTTATTATTAATAGTTTATGTACGAATGGGGTGAACTTAGTTATTATTGAGTATATATAAATAGAATGGACTTAATAAATTAAAATTAAAAAATTAAATGAGATGTGAAAGAATATTTAAGGCAAATCTGTATATGATTTTGCACTTGATTAAAGGCAACCAAAAGCATACTAAAGTATTTGTTAAGAGTAATAATATGTATCCTAAATTTGTATTTCAAATCAATGAGGACCATTGAATCAGTGGATTCTATTTAAAAAAATTGATGGGACCCACTGATTTAATGGTCCTCCTTGATTTGTGATACAAATTTAAGTTATAAATTTGAGATATATAGCACTACTCATTTGTTAATAGGCNCCATTGAATCAGTGGATTCTATTTAAAAAAGTTGATGGGACCCACTAATTTAATGGTCCTCCTTGATTTGGGATACAAATTTAAGTTATAAATTTGAGATATATAGCACTACTCATTTGTTAATAGGCAAAAACTGTAATTGCTTTTTGTTTTCTGAAAATAGACACCACTGGGTGGCTTTTCACACCCTTCTGCTTATAAAAAGTTCAGTTTAAACCCAAACTTGAATTTCGTGATAATATTTTGTTTAATACAACTAAATTTATCTATCAAACACGAAATTTTAAGAATATATGATTGAGAAAGTCAAAAAAAATAAAAGAAATCATGCGCGAATATTCTCACATTCATCCTTGTCATTTGCAGTTTGGTACATCTATGGATTGTGATTAAAGTTGTCAATAGTATCAAATTTTAACGGATTTGTGTCAAATTTTTTTTATTTATATCCAATTTGTTTATAAATTTTTGTCTAACAAATTGTCTGATACCGGATTCGTATCGTATTAAGTCAACTTGTTTACAAAATATGTGACTGAANTTCGTATCAAATTTTAACGAATTTGTGTCAATTTTTTTTATTTATATCCAATTTGTTTATAAATTTTTGTCTAACAAATTGTCTGATACCGGATTCGTATCGTATTAAGTCAACTTGTTTACAAAATATGTGACTGAAAAAAAATACAAGTTCTCTAATTTCGTATAATGTTAATAAATCAAGTCATATTTTGACTATGACTATAATAAAATGAAACATATAGTGAAGTAGAGCTAATCACTACATCTAAAAGTTTATGGGCTTTGCTTCCATTGGACTTNAAAAAAAAATACAAGTTCTCTAATTTCGTATAATGTTAATAAGTCAAGTCATATTTTGACTATGACTATAATAAAATGAAACATATACTGAAGTAGAGCTAATCACTACATCTAAAAGTTTATGGGCTTTGCTTCCATTGGACTTCATGGCTTGACAAACTAACATTTGTTTGGAAAATTCCGTTCTACATCTAAAAGTGAAACAATTTTCATAGTTTAGGGAACAATTTGTTGAATTTAGAACTAAAGGGAGTTGATTACAATTTGACTAAAACTTAGAGTGGACAATTTAAAATTAACTCTATCCAAAAAAAAATATCTATATAATTAAGTAACTTACAATTTAAATCTTAAAAGATAAACAAAATGACTTTTACTATTCGTGGTTGAGATCACTTTAAATTTTACTNGAGGGAGTTGATTACAATTTGATTAAAACTTAGAGTGGACAATTTATAATTAACTCTATCCAAAAAAAAATATCTATATAATTAAGTAGCTTACAATTCAAATCTTAAAAAATAAACAAAATGACTTTTACTATTTGTGGTTGAGATCACTTTAAATTTTACTTTAAAGTTAATCTAATAACTAATATTAACACTCCAAATTTAATAGAAAAAATAAGCCCCTAAGGGTGTGTTTGAAGTAACTTTTAAAAATTATTTCTCATAAATACTTTAAAAAAAATAGTGTTTGAAACCGCTCCCACTACTATTTCTACCACCACCGTTGCCGCCACCNTCTAATAACTAATATTAACACTCCAAATTTAATAGAAAAAATAAGCCCCTAAGGGTGTGTTTGAAGTAACTTTTAAAAATTATTTCTCATAAATATTTTTAAAAAAATAGTGTTTGAAACCGCTCTCACTACTATTTCTACCACCACCGTTGCCGCCACCATCACTACCACCACCACCACATTCGCCGCCACCGCCACCACCACCACCATTGCCACCATCGTCGTCACCATCGTCTCTGTCACCACCACCACTAACCCCACCACCGCTGCCACTGTCGCCATCACCGCCACCACCACCCCACCGCACCACTGTCGTTGTCGTCACCGCCATCACCACCACCACCACCACCACCACCATCGTCGCAGTCGCCACCACCACGGTCATTGCCACCCACCACAACCATCACCGTCTCCTATCATCACTACTGTCACTCATCACCTCTCATCCTCATTATAAATCGATGTTTAAATTTGTTTATTTTTTTTTATATTTATAATTTAATTTTAAATATAAATATAAATATATTTATTATTTATTATATTTTATTACTATGTACCTTCGGACACCGACAATAGAAGGGGATACCGACAATAACTAGTATGTATATATTAGATCCAGCCATCGTCGTTGAAAAAAAGAAACAAGCATTTTCCATCGAGCAACTGGATGACGTGGGGAAAAATTAGTTGTTAATAATTGAAAAGATTCCCTCCAACCTCTATCTAATTAAGTATAAAAGAGATCTGATACAGTGATGCACCTCCATCACATTCTACTCAATGGTGATGGCATATCAACGGCATAGAACTCTACTCCCAACAGAAAAGAAATCACAAAATAATTTGGCTACTGGAGAATAATTCCAATGATAAGATTTTAATAATCAATATATAAGAGTTTTAAATTCGAAATTCACAAAAAATGCCTTTGTTAAGCTAGTGTGCATAGTTTACACTTCCTTACTATAATACACATGATTTAAGGGAGAATTACATTTATACTTTTTTAAAATTTATTACTTAATTACTTAGATCTCTTAATATTTAAAATATTATATAAAGATCCCTTGAAATTTGTACATGCATAACACTTAAATCTATATTATAAATATATTAGTTAATAAATTATTCTTAAACCCCATGAAGTTTATAAGTACATAATATTTAGATCCCTTATACTTACAAATTTTAAAGGGTCTAAATATAATTTATTAATTGATATGTTTGTAAGGTCTAATTATTACGTGGATACAAATTTTAGAGGGTCTGTATATAATATTTTATAAAAATATTAGTTAGCACAATTGCTGAAGTCTTCAGATAATCAAATCAAATTGCTAAAGTCTTCACAATTGCTGAAATCTTCGTACCAAATATATTTAAAGTTGTTAATTTTTTTAATTTCAATTTAAATTTAAATTTGTGTGTAGATGAGTTAAGATCCATATAGAAAAAACTCATTAAGAATTATCTCATAAAAACTAAATTTTAAATTACACATGAACAATTTAATCGACTCGATTATTTAATATTTATAATAATAAAACAGAACTTCAAGCTATTTAAAAATTTTAATTAAAAAAATATAATAACGATCCAAATCATTTAAATTCAAGAATTTATATTATGGTCTAATCTTTTTTAATCCTTCAACTACGTTAACTCATGGAACTTTCCATTCTTCCACCAGCTTCAGCCTCTCTTCACACGAGTCGCATTGCACGTGCGGTCCTTCTCTTCACTTCAGATTCTTCAGACATCTCTCTCTCTCTCTCTCCCGGATTATAAACGGAGAGTGAAGAGAAACAGTTGAGTGACAATAGTGAGGGAGAAAACGAGAGTCACTGTTTACTTACATTCTCTGTCGAGTGTACTCCTCTCAAACTCGAGCTGAAATCATGAACTAGCAGCAGCTCCACAAGGATCCTTTCAAGATCTGCGTGAATTTCTCTCACTATCAGCTTCAGAGATCTATTGCCCATACTTCAGTCACTCGATGTCTCCTGTAAGTGTAGGATTCAATTATCAATTTCAAACTCTACTTCTTGAATCAAGATAATTTGATTAGCATCGCATTTCTTGTTTTCAAGATTTGAAAACCGAGTGACTAGCAAGCAGTTCTTGGTTGATAAATCAGAAAGATTGGGGGAAAAAAAGGGAAAAGAAACAAAAAGAATTTTTCAAACATCATTGGAAAACTTGTTGATTGAAGGAAAAAAGAACAAAAAGAAGAAAAAAAAGAACAAATATATAAAGGAAGGCGTGTTGATTTGTCCTTTCTTCAATTTTCTTACCAACTGGACATAGTGTAAAATGTAGTCATTTAGTTGTGTTTCAGCATCAAAGAAAGTAAAATTCTGTGCTATGTTGTTTTGTGTAGAATTGGAACTCGAGAAGCTACCACAGAATTCATTTGTGAAGCATACGTATCGGACTAATTTCATTTTTCTTGAGATTTTTGTTCTACTCTGGGGATGGTGGAATAGATATTATGATTGAATGTTTTATAAGCTTTTGCCAATTTTGATATAGTAGAAGTGTACAATGGAGGATGGGAATGTAGCGAGACAGTCATTGATAAGGCCAAGTGGTGGCTTGAAGTCCACATTGTCAGGACGATCAACTCCTAGGGGTTCTCCTTCATTTAAAAGATTGAATTCTGGCCGAACTCCTCGAAAAGAAGGTAGAACTAGTGGAATTAGCACTCAGTGGGTTAGAAATAATCGGATAGTGCTTTGGTTGCTACTAATTACTCTTTGGACTTATGCTGGATTTTACATCCAGTCGAGGTGGGCACATGGGGACAATAAGGAAGGAATTTTTGATTATGGGAGTAAACCGAGTGATGAGAATGCTGAAACTGGACAAGATCTGCGACGGAACTTGGTTGCAAATAATGAATCATCGGCAGTTAAAATCAGAAATCAAAACAAACAACCCAATGTGAAAAACATGAATGTGGTTTTGGCAAAAAAAGGGAATACTGTTTCGTCTCCTGGAAAGGTATCTTTGAAGAAGAAGAACAAGCGATCGGCGCGTAGTTCACGTAGGAAGATTCCTAGTAAGAAGAAGCCGGCTGTGGGCATTGGAGACAGTGATGTTGAGGTGCAGGAAGAGGAAATTCCTAATCGAAATACTACTTACGGTTTGCTTGTTGGTCCATTTGGGCCGATAGAGGATAGGATTTTGGAATGGAGCCCTGAGTTGCGATCAGGAACTTGTGACAGGAAAGGTGAATTTGCCCGTCTTGTTTGGTCCAGAAAGTTTGTGTTGATATTCCATGAACTTTCATTTACCGGAGCTCCACTTGCCATGATGGAGTTGGCAACGGAACTCTTAAGCTGTGGGGCCACAGTGTCTGTTGTAGTTCTTAGCAAAAGGGGTGGGTTAATGCCAGAGCTTGCTAGGAGGAAGATTAAAGTGCTTGAAGACAGAGAAAAGCTCAGCTTCAAAACAGCCATGAAGTCAGATCTAGTCATCGCTGGTTCGGCAGTCTGTGCATCTTGGATTGGTCAGAACCTTTTTGCTGCGTTCTATTGATGATGTTTACAAATTTGTAATGATAATAGTTGTGCTAAAGGAAATCATTTACATGCTTTCTATATATCACTATTTTTCATATTAATTAAGTGCATTGTTTTTAGTTCACAATGCTAGTTTTATCTTTCCGTTCAACAAAGTTTTTCTTATATTGTTCGTTGTTCAAAAAAAACAAAGTTATTCGTTTCTTGGTTATTTTAGTTTTATCAAATCCCCTGTAATATATTGAAAGAGTGATCCTTTATCAAACACTACTAGGGGAATTTCATTGATGTTAGGTGCAAAATGGATCAAACTGTTTGCTTACTAGAGCCCCCTTGTCAGGGGTGTTGCTTTATAATATTNGGGCAATTACCATTTTGCATCATGAGATCTGTTAGGATATTGATGAAAATCAGCTTGCCTGCGATTGTGTTTAATTCCTGGTTATGATGCTTGAATGAACATAAAATTTCGTCCACATAACACAGAGCCCGAAACAAGCAACAGTCAGATTATGACATGCTTTTGCTTTCCGAATTTTTGCCTTGCCCCATAGGTGCTTGGAACAGATAATGGAGGCACAAAAGAGATTGTTGAACACAATGTCACCGGTCTTCTTCATCCTCTAGGGCGTCCAGGAACATATATTCTTGCTCAGAATCTTCGGTTTTTGCTCAAAAACCCATCAGCAAGGCAGGAAATGGGAATCAGAGGAAGGAAAAAGGTCGAGAAGATGTATTTGAAGCGGCACATGTACGAGAGATTTGCCGAGGCTTTGATCAGGTGCATGAGAATGAAATGAAATCTACCACTGGACATTTTTTCGGTAGTTAAATTGTATTACCGTGCTGATCGTTTGGTTACTGTTTTTTTGTTTCCTTAGATAATGAAATATTTTTGATTGGGTTTAAACTACTGTCTGAATTTGTAACCTTGGATTATGATCCTCATCCAGGTTGTTAAATGAAATTTTTTTCTTCTGTTTTTGCTTTTGTTTTTTGTTTTGGAAATGAGAAATGAGAAATGAGAGGTCAAACAGAAGGAGAATCTAGACCTCTTCTATTATATTTTTTTTTTCAATAAATAGATCATCCACCACTATGTTGTGGATCTACTAATATATAATAAGTCCTTTTTTATTTCATGGTGAGTGATCAATGATCGAGGGAAACTCTTAAAAAAAATATATAATGTGGAGGGGATTTGGATCCATATGAAGGAATAACTGGTTTTCCGTCTTTAGTGAATAGGTGAGGTTTTTTTTTAATTAGACGGTTAATATCATGTACCAATACTGATGTGGTGTAATCGTTATATCTAATATTTTTTCTGTAAGAGGGATGATAAATTAATTGGAAAATGATGAATTTTTTTGTGCCATGTGAATAAAAATTAGTTAGAGAAATCAAAAAACAATGTTAGAGCATTACGGAAAGGAGACAGGGTTAGAGCATTATGGAAAAGAGACAGGGTTTAGCCCATCTCCAATTATACAAATAATTAGAGATTTTTTTAATTCAGTTTATATGCTAAGGATTTATCTACGTCAATAAAATTTGAATATAAATGTGTATTTTGTAATTAATTTTTTTTAATTATTTTGTAATTTGAGAAGAGCCCTAACTCGTGAAATTTGGTCTTGATGTTTCCCTAAGATCAATGGTGGGTAGACCTAACATTTTACGTACGGTTCGTGAAATCGATACGGATTTAACTGGTTTGGGTGTAATTTTAACGGATTTGGGTAGTTAACGGGTTAATTCGACAGACCTGTCAAATAAATGAACCAATTTCGTATTAAACCATAAACTCGTTTCAACCCATTTAATTTGTTAATAGTGGTATTATAATTTTTTTTTTAAAAATGTTAACTCTCCTGACCTCTGCCTCATTTCACACCACATACCTCTTAGGCTCATTTAAATTTAGTAATCATTTAATATATATTTTTTGTCTTTATTTTTTTGCTCAATTATAATTTATTGTTATAGTAAATATGTCAAACATGTGTAATGTGTAATAAGTTGATGATTTTTCGTATAAATTCGAAATATTTTGACCTATTATCTTATTTAGCGGTTGACACATAGTTTGTATCAAGTAACCCGTCTAATAAACGATTCATATATGAGTGTGATACTTGAACTCGTTTATATAAACGAATTAAATATGGATGAATGATTTTTTGACATAAACCCCACCGCGAAACCGTTTTACTCGACCCGATTAGTAGGCATAGAGGTGGGATTACGGGAAGGGACACATTTGCAAATAAAACGGAAAGTCGGGTCCCAATAGGAAATGTGCAAAAACTGGGGGTACATATAAAGCAATACGATCAATCAGAACAGTCAGATGAAGATATAGAGGTACTACACTTCCTCACTTTCCTTAATGTTTACTGCGATTAATTATTTTCCGTGCAAACATCGATCATCAGTCCCAAACCAAATCCCTAATTTGTTGATTCGTGCAACGTCTCAATCATTGTTTGGAGGAATTTGGAGTGCTGTAATTGAATAGAATAAATAGAGGCAAACAAGAAGTGATCGCTGACATGGATGATCCGAAAGAAAGCCTTGACGATGGTGATGACAAGAACGTGAAGCGAAATCTTCCTTCATGGATGGCTTCGAGAGAGAATGAGAGTAAATCTCATGGAAAGAAGCATACCCATGTTGGTGCGCATGGAAAAAGTAACGAAACCCAAAAAAAATCTTCGCCCTCCAAGTCGAATGCCTCGGGATTTTCCAAACTTATGGTATTGAAGCAATTTAATCTTGGATTTTAAATATTTTTTTGTGTATTTTATTTGAAATTTGCTTACAAGAACTGAGACTGTAGTTTGGTTTTGTATAGGAAAGGGTTGTGTTCGTGTTGTCAGGGTTTGTTAATCCTGAACGGAGTGTGTTAAGGTCGCAGGCATTGGAAATGGGAGCGGAGTATCAACCTGATTGGAACCCGGATTGCACCCTTCTGGTTTGCGCATTTCCTAATACCCCAAAGTTTCAACAAGTTGAGGCAGGTGGTGGAACTATTGTTTCCAAGGTTTACCTCTCTTTAGTCTTTGCTTTGATCTGCAGTGTAAAGCCTTTGATTTATGGTTGGAATTAGTGAACTAAATGCCAGTAAAGACTATAATTAGTCATTTTGCTTTTTAGCTGCCTTTGGTGTTTTTAGCACTAACTACTTTGAGGACCTAGACTTTTTTCCTTCTAAAACTCAATTGGAAGAGAACTTGGTTTGTTGCTTTGTTTCTTATTAAATAGAAAGATTCTGGTTTAGTGTATTTCTGATTATAAGAGTATGGTGCTTGATGAAGTTATGGTTTTCATCCTATCTAGTTACCTCAATATTGGTCTGCATTGTATTCTCTTTATAGTCTGACAACATAAAATAGTGATTGTTCTNTATATATAATGTGGAGGGGATTTGGATATCCATATGAAGGAATAACTGGTTTTCCGTCTTTAGTGAATAGGTGAGGTTTTTTTTTTATTAGACGGTTAATATCACGTACCAATACTGATGTGGTGTAATCATTATATCTAATATTTTTTCTGTAGGAGGAATGATAAATTAATTGGAAAATGATGAATTTTTTTGTGCCATGTGAATAAAAATTAGTTAGAGAAATCAAAAAACAATGTTAGAGCATTACGGAAAAGAGACAGGGTTAGAGCATTATGGAATAGAGACAGGGTTTAGCCCATCTCCAATTATACAAATAATTAGAGATTTTTTTAATTCAGTTTATATGCTAAGGATTTATCTACGTCAATAAAATTTGAATATAAATGTGTATTTTGTAATTAATTTTTTTTAATTATTTTGTAATTTGAGAAGAGCCCTAACTCATGAAATTTGGTCTTGATGTTTCCCTAAGATCAATGGTGGGTAGACCTAACATTCTACGTACGGTTCGTGAAATCGATACGGATTTAACTGGTTTGAGTGTAATTTTAACGGATTTGGGTATTTAACGGGTTAATTTGACAGACCTGTCAAATAAATGAACCAATTTCGTATTAAACCATAAACTCGTTTCAACCCATTTAATTTGTTAATAGTGGTATTATAATTTTTTTTTTAAAAATGTTAACTCTCCTGACCTCTGCCTCATTTCACACCACATATCTCTTAGACTCATTTAAATTTAGTAATCATTTAATATATATTTTTTGTCTTTATTTTTTTGCTCAATTATAATTTATTGTTATAATAAATATGTCAAACATGTGTAATGTGTAATAAGTTGATGATTTTTCGTATAAATTCGAAATATTTTGACCTATTATCTTATTTAGCGGTTGACACATAGTTTGTATCAAGTAACCCGTCTAATAAACGATTCGTATATGAGTGTGATACTTGAACTCGTTTATATAAACGAATTAAATATGGATGAATGATTTTTTGACATAAACCCCNATTTATATCAAGTAACCCGTCTAATAAACGATTCGTATATGAGTGTGATACTTGAACTCGTTTATATAAATGAATTAAATATGGATGAATGATTTTTTGACATAAACTCCACCGCGAAACCGTTTTACTCGACCCGATTAGTAGGCATAGAGGTGGGATTACGGGAAGGGACACGTTTGCAAATAAAACGGAAAGTCGGGTCCCAATAGGAAATGTGCAAAAACTGGGGGTACATATAAAGCAATACGATCAATCAGAACAGTCAGATGAAGATATAGAGGTACTACACTTCCTCACTTTCCTTAATGTTTACTGCGATTAATTATTTTCCGTGCAAACATCGATCATCAGTCCCAAACCAAATCCCTAATTTGTTGATTCGTGCAACGTCTCAATCATTGTTTGGAGGAATTTGGAGTGCTGTAATTGAATAGAATAAATAGAGGCAAACAAGAAGTGATCGCTGACATGGATGATCCGAAAGAAAGCCTTGACGATGGTGATGACAAGAACGTGAAGCGAAATCTTCCTTCATGGATGGCTTCGAGAGAGAATGAGAGTAAATCTCATGGAAAGAAGCATACCCATGTTGGTGCGCATGGAAAAAGTAACGAAACCCAAAAAAAATCTTCGCCCTCCAAGTCGAATGCCTCGGGATTTTCCAAACTTATGGTATTGAAGCAATTTAATCTTGGATTTTAAATATTTTTTTGTGTATTTTATTTGAAATTTGCTTACAAGAACTGAGACTGTAGTTTGGTTTTGTATAGGAAAGGGTTGTGTTCGTGTTGTCAGGGTTTGTTAATCCTGAACGGAGTGTGTTAAGGTCGCAGGCATTGGAAATGGGAGCGGAGTATCAACCTGATTGGAACCCGGATTGCACCCTTCTGGTTTGCGCATTTCCTAATACCCCAAAGTTTCAACAAGTTGAGGCAGGTGGTGGAACTATTGTTTCCAAGGTTTACCTCTCTTTAGTCTTTGCTTTGATCTGCAGTGTAAAGCCTTTGATTTATGGTTGGAATTAGTGAACTAAATGCCAGTAAAGACTATAATTAGTCATTTTGCTTTTTAGCTGCCTTTGGTGTTTTTAGCACTAACTACTTTGAGGACCTAGACTTTTTTCCTTCTAAAACTCAATTGGAAGAGAACTTGGTTTGTTGCTTTGTTTCTTATTAAATAGAAAGATTCTGGTTTAGTGTATTTCTGATTATAAGAGTATGGTGCTTGATGAAGTTATGGTTTTCATCCTATCTAGTTACCTCAATATTGGTCTGCATTGTATTCTCTTTATAGTCTGACAACATAAAATAGTGATTGTTCTTACCCACTGCAAACTAGCGATCGAGTAGTTGAATTTTGAGGAGCTGCTGTACAAAAACAACTACAGATTTTTTAGACAGCAACATTTAAATGAGCAGTTACAAATATGAGAGGAAGGACGTAATTATATGGCATCTGGCAACTTTGGATTAAATGATTCTATAAATATTTCAAAAATCTCATATTAGACATTTGGGGAGCAAAGACTTTCCAAGGCCTCTCTTCCTTAATTTGATTAATTTATATGTACATATGTATAGATAGTTGGGGTGTTACGGGGCCCAATAACGGGTCTTAGACTTGGCAACGGTTATCTAAAGATAAAATGTGCACTTCCATGCCCTTAATGCTGTGATTTAGAGTATGTCATAGCAAGTGACGGATTGCTCCTTTTTTTTTCCTGGTTTCTCAGAAAGTGGATTTTTTGTTTGAACGAAAAAATTAAAAGGCAGTGGATGTTTGNCGGGTCTTAGACTTGGCAACGGTTATCTAAAGATACAATGTGCACTTCCATGCCCTTAATGCTGTGATTTAGAGTATGTCATAGCAAGTGACGGATTGCTCCTTTTTTTTTCCTGGTTCTCAGAAAGTGGATTTTTTGTTTGAACGAAAAAATTAAAAGGCAGTGGATGTTTGAGGACAGATTTTTGAGCTAAGTGAGGTCTTTTATCTGGAGTACTTTAGTGGGTATGTCTTATTGTTTAAGACTTAAGAGTGCAAGTTAATGTTTTCAACATATCAGGGCCTTTATGTATCTTTCCGTGCTGGATGTTCTTCTATTGGTTTCATGCTATCTTCATAACATTTATTGATTGCTTTGTGCATTTTGCCTTTCTTTCCGTAAGTTTTTCATTACCACCAAAAGCAATATACTTATGCATGCATGGCATACATGTATTACATGTCCATTGTTATATGATTTTATGTCTTAACATATAGATCCTATCTACTTTAGGGCCCGCTCTTTTATGCTTTTCTATAGATGTGCCAATGAGTGAGCTGGTTGTAGAACAATTGCATCTAATGCTGTCTATCTGGTTTATTACATGAGTTCCCCCGGGGCCATTATTACAATTTGTCTTTGGGTGTATCATGCTCAAATTCAATTTCATTGTGTTTCTTTTATGAATGCTGCTCCATGAAAGTTAGAACTAATGATCAAGAGTTTGTTTGGCATAGGAGTGGATATCAGAGTGTTACAACCAGAAAAAGCTTGTTGATATTGAAAGTTACCTTATGCATGCTGGTAAACCATGGCGGAGGCAAAGTACTTCTCACGAAGCCAGCCAAGGTCTCTCTCTCCCTCTGTCTCTCTCTCTCTCTTCGCCAAGTATTTATCATGAAGCCATGCATAATCGATTTTAGAATAGGTTGACAATCTCGTAATCGTTTTATCCAATTATTCAAATTATTATAACTTGCTCAGTACCAACTATTGTTTCTCGATCTGTATGTCTAGAATCATAGCAGTGACCTTTTCTGATACCCCATATAAAGATTGGCAAAAATTTGAAAATGTAAGGAAGTAATTTCTGTCCCCACCCCCAAACGTAAACATGCTCTTGAGTGTGTCCACGCATAGGGGCACGAGATACACACGTGTACAAAAGGGTAAATAGAATGTTTCTAGGTTGAGGTGGCTGCACTTACCTCAAACTGGCAAACTTTGACCTGCTCTCTCCCTTTACTTCCCAAGTTTTCGGAAATGTCAAAGCTGGTTTTCTGACTTTGGAGGTTGAGATTGCCTGCATTTTTGTTTATCAGGCCACATATATGCTGAAGTGAATGTGGTGCATCTAAAGCTTAACGTCATTTTTCATTAGAATTTCCAGAGTGGTAAATTTTTGAGAGAGTCTCTTACATTTAATTTTGTTGCTATTCATTGTGATCTGTGAATGTGGTTCTGTAAACTAACGACAAAGTTGCTCCCATTTATCTGTTTTCTGTCTCCTGTTTAAGGGCATTCTGAAGTCTGAACTACTTTCCTAATGACCCTTGGTTCTGGTCTAAATCCTGAACTACTTTTCGAATGAGCCTAGGTTCTGAACTCTAAATGCAATTAGTGCTTGTAGATCAAGAACCATCCAAATCTCGGAAATTTCAGAAGCAAGTAGAACGAGGCTCACATTTAAAGCCATCTGCTTCGTCCAAGGTACTTAATTTGTATTCAATACTGCTCACATGATTATACCCACATTTATTTCTAGAGCTACTAACTCAACTCTGGAAAAACTTGTCCCAACTCTTTGGGGTCGACCGCATGAACCATGTTATGGCATTGCCCTCAGTGAGGGCTATATATATGCAATATTACATGATGAAAGTAAGCATAATTTGCTGGAGCTTAGCAGGATTGAAAGTGTACTCAAAGTTGTATTTTTTGGAACCTTTTAGAGACTCAGTAATTAGAGATATGGTTTTGTACTTTTTGTTTAGCATAGATTTCTATACTCCCTCATTTATGATCTAGTTTCTTTCTCTTATGTGAAACAGACCGATTCTTCTAAACCTGCCAAGGATTTTTTTTCTACTTCTACGCTGAAGAAATGGGCTATTAATGATTTGAATAATACAATATCATGGTTGGAGAGCCAAGAAGAAAAGGTAATCTGCAATTTTGCATTGCTATTGTTACTTGCGACCCATCTTCACATGAATTTTCTCCTTGAATTTTCCATTTGAGATACTTGTTAGTATTGCGAATTTGAATAGTTTTCTGGTTTTCTGTGAAAACGTCTGTAGCTTTCATTTCTTCTTGTTTACAATGTGAACGTCCGTCGTGTCATTGACATTTGTTTTATCAAATAACTCATTTTCTGATACAGTGATTTCTGTTAAATAACTTGTCAGACTTCTGATTGTGCATTAGAAATTTGTATATTTTGCCCTCTTGTGTACAAAACAGTTGATATCTTCTGCAAATCTTACCTTGGTTCATCATGTTGGACAGCCAGAGCCGAGCGTGATAAAGAAAGTAGCTGCTGAAGGGATCCTGACTTGTTTAGAAGACGCCATTGATTCTTTTAAGCAAGAGCAGGTACATTATTTACTTATAGAGACATTTTTCTCAAGAAAATGGGCAAGAGATTCTGTTGTCTCAGTTGTGGTCTCTTCCATTGCCCACTTTCTTCACTGGTAAATAGGAGTTTGGAATCTGTAGTATGGTGGTCAAATCTAAAGTGTATGTAAGTCTCTGTATTATTTGATACCTTTCTAGATGCAGGATATTTAAGGGGTGGGTTGGTAAATCCATTTTTGCCATTGGAGAGGTACTTAGCAGCCAAATATGAGCACCATGCCTTTCTCTCTTCCTTTGGAAATCACCATAGCCTATGATTTCTTTAGGTAAAGTTTGGAGGGAGGATGGTTACAGTCATCTCTCCAAAATTTATTTGCTGGTCATTTGTGTTCTCCTAGGATGATCAAATTTGCTTGAATAGTATTTGAGATTTCATACTTATGACCGGAGTTGTTATCTCCTTTACCTCGAGTCTTAAAAAATTGGTGAGAGGCACTGCCGATAGCAGACCGTGATGAGGGTTAGGTGTTTGACATCCCGCTGACCAATGGTGTAATTTGAAAGTTTTGGAAGGTCTGCTGTGCTGATTGAATTAGTCAGATCAGTGAATTCCTTTGTTTGGCTCTCAGAACATGTCTTTCCAAAGCTGGAAGATGCTATGTCACGTACATCACTTGCGTCATCTACGTGATCAGGCTGGCCTTCTGACTTTACTAAAAGGGTATTCAGTGCACGAGGCTTCCGCCATTGCGGGGTTTGAGGAGGATTGGATGTATGCAGCCCTACCTTTGCAAGCAGAGAAGCTGTTTCCACAATACTGAATCAGCTTATATTCTTCCCATGTTCGGGACACTGCAGGTTTTCTATGCAGCAATGTCAACCACCATAGCAAGTCTATAACTGTCTTCAGAAATGTTCCGAAGATCATTCATGCTGATTAATGATTATGTGATAGAGACTTGCTAAATATTATATATCACTCGTGTTATGCCTGTGAACAAATGATATTTAGATATATTATTATTAACTTTAATAGAAAAAAGAGAAAAAAAAAAAGGGCTGTACTTACCTATCAATTAAACGTGTCAAGTCCTTTTTTGCAAGGACTGTAAAGATTGTATGCTTACTCACTTTGCATTCATGTATCTGTCTTTAGGACATCCGACAAATAACTGAGCAGTGGAATTTCATCCCTCGGGTGGTTGAGGAACTGGCAAAGCTTGAAGGCTCTGGGAGTGGTTCGACTTTACTTTCTAAGGAAGATCTTTACAGACAAGCTATGGCCTNAACAAATAACTGAGCAGTGGAATTTCATCCCTCGGGTGGTTGAGGAACTGGCAAAGCTTGAAGGCGCTGGGAGTGGTTCGACTTTACTTTCTAAGGAAGATCTTTACAGACAAGCTATGGCCTGTAAACAAATTTATGAGGTGGAACTTGGCCATTCAGATGATGATTCATTGGTGAAGATGAAAAAACCAACAACGGATGGAAGTGAGAGGAGTGCCAATGCCAGCAAAAGCATTCTTGCTAGGAATGCTGTGGCTTATGACAGTGATGAAACAATTGAGATGACTGAAGAGGAAATAGATCAAGCTTACAACACCGTAGCTTCTAAGCTTTGCAAATGCTAAGTAAACATTTGTGGGAGATGAGAAGATGACATGGACGGAACTATATTGTGGTCTAGGGGAGTCATGACTCCTGGGCTTTTGAAAACCCCACTGATCAGCTATTGTTTGAAGAGCAACTTCTCTCCCTTCAACAGAGTGGTTCCCCAGTTTTGGACTTGAGTAGTGACTGGTTCCGTCCCTGAATGCTAGTGTGTGTGTGTGTTTCTTTGAAGGGGTCTGGCTGGCCTATCAGCCATGTAGCTATTGCAACATATCTGCTTTGTTTAAGAAAATTCATAATTCTCTTTTTACTTGTATCCAAATTCACCTCTTGCACANGTGTTTCTTTGAAGGGGTCTGGCTGGCCTATCAGCCATGTAGCTATTGCAACATATCTGCTCTGTTTAAGAAAATTCATAATTCTCTTTTTACTTGTATCCAAATTCACCTCTTGCACAACCACTCTACTACAGTTATATTTTCTGCTGTGGATTCTTTACTTTGTACTTGTGCATAGTCGCCTATGCTCCTCGTTTTGGATCATTCTCCTTCTACAATGTCTAGTTAAATGATGTATTTAATTGTTTTTAAAAAAAGTTTTTGAAGTAACAGGTGAAAAGATAAAACTTTTGAGGGCAAAGTGAACGATAAAAAAGGGTTGCAGAAAAGCAATTGCACCAATGCAAGTTGTCTTTTAAACTTTTGACTAACTTGGCTGGGTCTAATATGATCTGTTAATTTAGGTCGGGGTGAACGNAAAGGGTTGCAGAAAAGCAATTGCACTGATGCAAGTTGTCTTTTAATCTTTTGACTAACTTGGCTGGGTCTAATATGATCTGTTAATTTAGGTCGGGGTGAACGTTTAAGCTCTAAACTATCTAATATTCGACAAAAATGAATTGGGTGCGATTTTATAAAATCTTACCAAAGTTCGAATGACAGATTTTATAATTATTTTGAAGTCTTAAATCAAAGTATCTATGGCAAGAGAATTTATGAATTAGTTGACATGCGAGAAATTGTTTAAATGCCATCTTTGGGTTAAAGTTTGATTTTGATTTTGATTTTACGAAACAATTAAAAAGAAAAAAATTTCGAATGAGAATTTCTAAAAAATAAAAAGAAAATTTCAAATTTACATATACACCCCTGTTGTGTTTCACATGAGTATACTTTGCTTGCTCCTTGTTCTCAGTAGGGTTGCAGCAGATAAACGCCACCACTTTAAACTCTCTCTCTCTAGTCGCGCAGACCTTATAATATCTCACGAAGTCTTTCCCTCTCTCTCTATCTCTCAGTTCTCTTTCTCTCTCTAGAACCGCCGTTTTGCAACAATGGGCACTTCTCTTCCTTCCAAAGAGGCCAACCTCTTCAAACTCATCGTCGTAAGTTCTCCGATTCTCTTCTCCTTTCTTTCTCTCTCTACCTGCTCTTTAATCTCAATCTTTCACTTAAGTACACCTTAATTACTCTCCCAGTCAACCCTACTTGGTACCTGTTACTAAACCCTAGGTTTTCAGCTATTTTTTGCAATCTTGGTGTTCTTTGAGCATAAAACATGTTCATAATGTCACCACGATTTCTATTGTTGATCTAAGTCGTATTCAAGGGTTATTTTTGACTCACCAATGCTTATCTGCTTCTAAAGCTTAAATTCTGCTAAGAAAAAGACTAAAATTTGGTATACTGGAGTAGAATTATATCTGTCACTAGAAGGTGCATGTTGGATAAGTTCCATAATTTTGTTGTGTCAGACACGTAATTGGCATATCTTTGTATTCCTCATTAGAAATGGAAGCATAAGATAAGTTCGAATACAAGTTACTATTACTGTAAGTCTAATCAGGATTCACTTATTAGACTATTGGGTGACTTCAATACTACCATGTTTCCATTGATCCTTGTTATATTGTACACCTGCTGTGGTAACCCTGTTATTTGTATTTGTCTTTACATTGGAGAAACACAAAAGCCACTGCTAAAATGAAACATAATGGATAATTGCCTTCATCCTTGCAGAAATCATATGAAACAAAGCAGTATAAAAAGGGGTTGAAAGCTGCAGATGCTGTATTGAAGAAGTTTCCAGATCATGGAGGTATGGGGAACTTGACATAACATAGTATTGTAGCCTTCCTTGTTTCCGGGCAGTTCAACAGAGTAAATATTTATTTCATTTTATGTTTTGGCCGATGATTAAAATTTTGTTTTGGTATATTGTTTCAATCACCTATGAAACGGAAACGTGTCGACGTGTTTTAGAAATGTTTCGACCAGTTTCGGAAACAAAATAAAAAATTTAAAAATTATTTTTCCAAAACATTAGTTGAAATATATCAAAGTATTTTGAAATACCTTGAAACATTCTGAAACAATTGTGCAAATGAATTAAAATATTATAAAATCATCTCAAAACATTACAAAATCCCTCGAAATATTAAAGTTTCGATTCCATTATTGATTCGTTTCGGCCTCATTGGAAATAGAAACGTTTCTGACATCTCGAAACCAAATTTTGATCGTTGGTTAGGTTTTGGCGTAGATGAACTTTCATCTGCTGTTTAAAACTCTAATTTTTCACAGTTGGTAGGAAAATTGTACAAGAAGCTGTAGGATGAGAAACAAAATAAGCTCCCCTCATTTTGACCCCCACCCGAGTCGGCTAGCAACCCATGGAGTGGACAGGCTGAGTATATAGTTAAACTTTTGCAGTCAACACATGCAGAAATCAACATGAAGTTGTTTTCTTAATCTGTTTATCCATGTAGAATTCTTGGGCTAATATGCCATTGTCTAGCTGTTTTGTCCTTACTTGGATTGTAGAGATTTTAATGGGTGTAGCATATTGTCGATGACAATGGAAAATGACCTTTTAAAATGGGGTTTAGAGTACAAAGTAGTAGTTCTGATGTCCTTAAAAAGGGGAGGGAAAAAAAGAAAAAAACAAAAGAAAAGAAAGAAGGTAAAATCTGTACTTTCTCCCTCTCTTATGAACTTAATTTTTTTTTTTTTTAATTTTAATTATCCTGTTCTGGGTCACACAAAATAGGCATTGCCAACACACAAAAGATCTCCATTTTTATCCCCTTGAGCTTGTGGGCATAACACTAATGGCCTCGTATGCTTGAAACAATCTACTTAACCCATTGTTGGATCTGTTATTGGGCAAAACCTAGGTGATTCAATCAGGTTGAAATTTACAAATTGTGAGGGCTGTGAACCTTTCTGGGCATTGAAGTTTCACCAAGTGTAGCTGGGGGATGTTTTACTGTGTTGAGCATTTGCCATTGTTATTTCCATTCTTGTGGAAGCTGTCATTGGGCAATTTAAGTTCTGTAATCTGGACAAGATTCACTTTGAAAAAATAGCAAGATATGTCACAGAGAGCACTACTCTTCTTTTTGCAAAATTGGCAACTTTGATTTTCTCTCTTGGGAGGTCTCTAGGAAGTCTTTTATTGGGTTCAGGATTGTTAACTAAACAGAATGTCGAGGTATCGTAAATTGATTGAGATCTTGGTCCTTGCGTTCTTGCCACAGATCTCAAATATTTTGATTGCATTAAGGCTGGGACATATGGATACCTCCATCCTCTAGTTAGCATGCTAAGATGATGCAAACCAAGGAGTGTCCAAGACAGTGCCACATATATAGATACCTTCATCCGCTAATTAGCATACTAATATGATGCTAACTAAGGAGTGTCCAAGATAGTGCCAATCAGAAGTCTTTTTTAAAATCTCCTGCTTTCTAGGGCTGAAGGGATTTTTTTTATTGGGATTGGTTTCGTATGGGTAGTTGGGTTCTTTCTCATAGTTTGTAGAATATTTAACACGTGTGTGTTTTTCTATTGACTTTGTGGATGAAACTAAAATTTGGGGACATGCCAAACTTAGGGAAGTGCGCTATCCTTGATGCTAGTGGATCTTTTATCTCCCTGCACTCATTTAATGTGGTGACAGGACATATTCTATGTATTGCATGCCCAAAAAATAATTTGCAAAATTGTTGGCTCACACACTGTCAGGATAAGGCCAAAATGGATTTTAAAATTATGTTGAATGAAAATGGTTTTTGTTAGAAGAGAAAATTTCATGAAAAGTGTTACAGCCTACATCTGTCTACACTTGGATTGTTTATCTGTGATTGAGTACCCCAATTACCTGTGGCGGAATTGTGTTCAGACTTCCACTTTTTGCGAGAATTCATTTGGATCCTCTGCCCTTCTCCTAATTGATGTTCCCTTTGTGAAGTTTGGAACTCAAGAATAGGTGAAGAAAGCTAAAAGTAACAGTAAGTATGCAAACACAAAAGTTTGTCATATAAATTTTGCTTAACACCATTTATGATTCTTGTGCACTGGAATGATAAGTGTGATTTAATGGAGTTCCTCTGTTGAGTAAAAAACTGTATTATGTAGGTTGGGAGTCCGTAGGTTTCTTTTTTGTTGAAAAATATGGTGTTCTAGGATGATTATGAATATGACCTGTTTGGCCAAATAATTGTGAATGTTCTTGTATTGTTTTTCACTTAGTCTGTCATAATTTCTTCTATTTCTTGCTCCTGGTTCCCAGAAACTCTGTCAATGAAGGGGTTAACATTGAATTGCTTGGACCGCAAATCAGAAGCATATGAACTTGTCCGGCTTGGTCTGAAGGTTGGGATATCCTTTGTGATTTCCTAAAAAATTGTGAATACCAGTAGTTTACCTTTGTTCCATGTTTGTGAAATGACATCTGGCTCAATTAAGCTGGTCTCTATGCAGAATGACCTAAAGAGTCATGTTTGCTGGCATGTTTATGGTCTTCTGTACCGGTCAGACAGAGAATACAGGGAAGCAATTAAATGCTATCGAAATGCCCTGAGGATTGATCCCGACAACATTGAAATACTACGGGACCTCTCTCTTTTACAGGTTTTTTTTTGCATGCTTATTCATTGTCCTCTATTATTATCACTCGCAACAAAAACAGGAAAACAGAATTTTTTAGCTAATTATGTGGCAGGGACTTTGAAATCGCTGTTACGGTTTAGCATTAGTGTGCATGTGTCCTATGTGGACTCCTTAAAAAGGAAAAATTAAGACATGGTTGATGGTGCTTGAAATTTCTGCTTGACAAGGGGTAAATCACTAGTGGTATAATGATTTCCTTTTTCTGATAGGTTACCCATTTCGGCTTGTGAGGAGATACTGAAACTCCCGTTTGTTGTTTTTCCAATCATTTTTTTAAGTTATCAGAGCCTACCAAACTTCCATTGAATGCGAAGTGATTTCAAATATATGAAAGATGTAGAAATATTTCTGAAGCTATTCAAGCACCCACTTTTCTCTGCTTGAAGTTGTAGATTCTATATGTATTTAGAGTCTTGCCTGAAGGTTCTCTTATTTTTGAATTAGTGTTATCGAACTTCTACTAAAAATGAAGCTGCAGAATCCTAGTTGCAACTTCTAAAGTAGAGTTGTATGTGTTCTTAACTATGGAGATACGGCAGAGTTGTGTTTGTGTAGAATCCATTTACACAAAATAGGGTCAACACATTTTAATGGTGTTCTTAACTTTGTGGAGACACAACAGAGTTATGCTCCAGAAGGGCATGAGAACCTGGACATAAAAAGCTTCCTTAGGATAATTGCACAGCTTCTCCCAGAAAACCCTACTCCCCACTCCCCACTCCCCACCCCCTTCTTCATTTCTTATTTCTTTTTAAGTTGCTTTATTCTCCTTCTACTTAAAGAAATGCAGCAAAAGCACTTATCTTATAAGAAGTAAGAAAATGACCCTAGATGTAGTGGATGAAAAGGCTAGATGCAAAGAAAGATGCCAAATTTTCTTATAGTCGGATGAAGAGGGTGTGCGTTGTTTGAAATAATAGGATTGCTGGATAATACATGGGTTAGAGTCAGTATCTCTTGTATATAGGAACGTTTAGTATGTAAAAACATTAGAGTGCGTGTGCCATGGAACTAAACTCTGTATGGTAGTTAGTGCTGGCAATTTAACATTATCAATCCCTGCAAATGAGGTGTGGGATAATTTGACTTGATTGGGGCTAGACATACTCAGGAACCCTCTTTTAAATCCACGTTGGATTTACCTATAACATATAAGTAACTAATCTTAGTAATGCTTCCCATTTTTTAGTGTTCCTCACTCTGGTTTTGAAGATTGTTGAAAATCCTTTTCTAGTACTTAATTTGTTCTTTAGGATCTTGTCCTGTAGTTTTGTGTTATGTTTTTGAGTTTCTATTTTGTCTGGATTGGAAAGCTATACTCGAGGATCAAAATATCGTTTCGAAACAATCGAAACATCCGAAACGTTTTCATTTTCATGGAAACCGAAACGAATCAGTGATGAAATCGAAATTCTAATATTTCGAGGTATTCCATAATATTTTGACATATTTTGTTATATTTCAATGCATTTGCACAATTATTTTGGAATGCTTTAAGGTATTTCAAGATATTTTGGTATATTTCGACCAATATTTTGAAAAAATATTTTTTAAATTTTTTATTTTTTTTCATTTTGTTTTTAAAAGGGTTCGAAACGTTTCTGTTTCCTAGGTGATCGAAACAATGCACCAAAACTATACTTATCTCCTGAAAATCACAGACCCCTTCTTGCGTTAATGCTACCTCAAGAAATTAGCGCGCTCTCCTGGGAAAGAAGCAAGCATGATATACTCTTCGTGGCTAAGGCCCTAAATGTTTATTTAGTTTCAAAGTGTCTTGCCTACCCTGTAATCCTTTTCTTTCAATTTTATACTTTTGACGGTGTCACTTATCCTAGAATTGGGAGGAGGAACAATCAATATGTATTAGCATGCCTGTGCTACATTTCTGTTCCTATCAAAAAAAATAAAAATTAGCATGCCTGTGTTATCAGCTTTTATTGGCAACATACTCCCACAAGGAGCTCATGTGTGCTGTTATAATGTTTCTGTTGTATTATAGTTTAATTTTGTAGTGTTTTTATTTTGTGCCATTTCCCTTTTAGTTAATCTTTTTTTTTTTTTTTCCAAACTCTCTGATTTTCTTGCTCTATATGTGTAATGGTGTGCTTCGCCTCATATTGCAGGCACAAATGCGTGACTTGGCTGGTTTTGTTGAAACAAGACAGCAATTATTGAGTCTGAAACCAAATCATCGGATGAATTGGATTGGCTTTGCTGTTGCCCAGCACTTAAACTCGAAGTATACATGGTTCTTGGATTTTATAAATGATAGATATTTGATCTTTGGTTTTAGCTTCATAACTGTTTGTTGTTTGTTGTTGGTATACCTGCTGGGTAGTAGTGGATTTCAAATATGACTAGTATATTGTCAGCTGTATGATTGATTTCAAAATTTGGGTTTATGCTTTTAAGTAGTGCATTGTGTATGGGAGAAAATATCATTTTGTGTACCCAGACTACGTAGCAAATTGACCTACGATCCAGGTAACGTTGATGAGGGCGACCTTTAAGATTTAAGTGCTGGGTGAAACTCTTGTCTGCTAAATTATTTATGATAGCTGCATGGATTGATTCACTTTGCAAACTTATTTGCAATTTGGCTACTCCTGTCTATATCCTTTGCCAATTAGAAATTGCTAGTTCTAACTGTATAAAATAAAATTCGTCTTTGTGGAACCTGCAGCTGTTATTTACATTACTTATGTTTATTTACTAGTGGATCAAAAGCAATCGATATCCTTGAAGCATATGAAGGGACTCTTGAGGATGATCATCCACCATTTAATGAACGTTGTGAGCATGGGGAAATGCTGTTATACAAGGTAATAATTGTGATGTGCAACAATTCAGTTAGGCGGTTATTAACTACAACTGTAAATTATTTCTATACACGTATGATCCTCTTCCCCATCTTTAAGTTTATCAAAGAGTCAATGAGTCACTTTGTTTTGCTCATGTGTTTACATAAGCTTTTCCTATGGTAAATACTTTAGTCATGTGTGTGTTATCATTTTGTTGTTGTAGACCTGCTTAATTGTTTTTCCTATAAGAGGCTTAATAGCCTTCCTCTCAGATGTCAGAACTGAGCCCTCCATTTCATTATGAGTTTGTCCCTTTTTTTGTGGCCTTTGCTTCAACTCTTTGCTTGAAAGCACTTCAATCTTTGCTTGGAATGTAATGAGCTCACCATTGTCACCAAAAAGTATTTCTTGCCGGTAACAGATATTGGCGCTTCACTTTTTGTTTGAACATGTAGTGGGTGGCCCTTTGTTGAGTTAAATCCTTTTGATCCTTCTTTGGTTAGCATATTAGTGGATAGGATCAGTAGGGAGAGAGGTGGAAAGGTGTATGACTCTTAGGTTGAGACGAACACTTTTTGAGATCTGATATTTTTAGTGCATGTCTTTTGAATCTTATACTTTCTTTGTCATTGAAAATATTGGTGCAAAAAATCCAATGGGGAGATAATGGTTTTAGGTTAGAATGGCTATATGTGTATGTCTGGATTTTTTCATGCCACTCTCAGAAAAATATATTAAATGCATAGTCAGAAGAGACCTGTTGCTTCAACTTCAAATCCAATGTTCTTGAAATGATAGGGATGGTAGAGGGGTCGAATAATTTTTACTATTTAGTAGATAATTTGGTTAGTATTTATCTGATTAGGACTATTGTTTTAGATAGAGTTTTATTATAATTACTAGTAATTGCCCATGCCGAAAGACACCATGTTACTTATAAAAAAAATTAAAATATGTCAAAAAGAGATATTAAGTGGATTTGCAATGACACTCTTTAAGAAAGTAAACATNTGCCCATGCCGAAAGACACCATGTTACTTATAAAAAAAATTAAAATGTCAAAAAGAGATATTAAGTGGATTTGCAATGACACTCTTTAAGAAAGTAAACATTGAAAATAGTACATGCTCCGCAAAACAAAATATCACAATCATCTTGGCAATAGGTTTTGGTTCATATGGTTCAAAGCACACATCAAATTATAGAGAACACAAAAAATGAAAGAATCCAAATTTGAATCCAAGCAGATTATTTCGTCTATCAAATGATCTCAGAAACCAAAATAGAAAAAAGGAAAAGAAAAACATATTGTGAAAGAGAATGAAAATTTATGCAATCTAAAAAATTAAACTTCAAGAAAATTCAATTCTCAAATAATCCACAATCCCTTTTCAATCAAAATCAATGGCCATGAAATCTAAAGGATAAACTAAAGAGGAGCATGTAAGAAAATCCCTAGTACGACAAACAAAAAGAAAAAGTAAGCTTTGTGGTTAAAAAAAATAAAAAATCCAATTGAGTTGTTCACATTTTCAGAATCAAGATCAATTAAGAAAATTCAAAAACATTAAGAAAGCAACGCAATACAAAATAATAACGAAATTAGTTGAAAAAATAAAAGTACAATGTTCTAGAAATGGAGTAAACTTACTGATTTTTAATTATAAGAACAAAGCCTATAATTTTACATTTCATTACATTCAATTCCAACATATTTTTTAAAGCAAAATTTTAAAAGAGAAAGTAATTAAGTTACTCAACACCTTCATAACTTAAGAATTTTGGAAAAATTTCATGAGACCTTTCAAAAGTCAAACAAAGGCATGACAAATTAAAATTGCACCTAACTGAATAATTCATGCTTCATTCTAATTGAAAGGAAGGAGAATACAGTAGCAAAAGAGAATAGGACAAAATTTACCTTTATTTTTCAAAAGGTGATGCCACTTTGACAAAGATAGGTGCAAATTATTCGAATCTTCGAGAGGCTTCCAAGGGGCCACTATCACCTTCTCTATTTTAGCTATGTAATAAACTTCAGCTTCTCTATAACTCACCTGATATTTTCAAAAATAATAAAACCTTAAACTATGCTACTTAGCAAGCTTCATTGCCACCATGCTACGGATATTATGCTGTAAGCAAATATCATATAGTTTTAATTGTGTTAATAAACTCATTTCACACCATATAATATCTAACAAAATTTTTTTCACTCGGATTGAATCAATGAAAAGCAAACAATAGTTAATATATCTCATGACTTATATACTTATTCCAGTTGGTACATTTACTACACTTGAGGTGCCATCTATATTTACATTTGAAAAGTAGATTATGAAATAATTAGTGCTACTAAGAAAAAAATTGAAAACAAAAGGGATTATGAAATCATTGGATCTAACTCTTTCAATTACAGCTCCAAGCCACCCATTAGCACAAATCTTCAAAACACCAAAAAATAAACACTACCCACAAAACATAAAAATTATATAATTGAATGCCATTTTAACAAACAGTTGATATGTAGCTGTGGTGTGCTAGTTGAAGCCGGCATGTGTAAGGCATTTTAACAAACAGTTGATGTGCGTCATTTTAACAACATTTTAACAAACGATTGTGTGTGGGGAGGGAATGACGGAGCGTGGTAGAGGTGTGGCTGTGTGTGGTGGTGGTAAGCCAGCCGGTGGAGAGAGAGAAAGACAGGTGATGGTGGTAGAGGGAGGCTCTATGTGTGTTGATAGATGGGAAGAGCTGAGCATAGTGTAGGTTGTGTTGTGCGTGGCGGTGGCAAATTGGTGTGTGTGTGTGTGAGAGAGAGAGAGGGGGAGAGAAGGGGGTAAGGGAGAATGGTGGTTGCAGGTGGGGCGTGGAGCCTCTGTGGAGAGAGAGGGGGACAAAGAGGTTTGGAGATTACCTTTGACGCCTGTCGTGGGATGCTTCACCATAGAGAAAGATGCACAAGATATGAGTGAGAGAGAGAGATTAATCAAGAGAGGAGGCGGGTGAGGGAGGGAGAGTAGAGAAGAGAAATGTGAGTGAGGGAGGGTAGACATTTCGTTATGTTTGGGAGATAGAGAAACGTGAGTGAGTGAGAGAGATGCTGGAGAGAAATAGGAAAAGAAACGTGAGTGAGTGAGAGAGAGAGGTACGAGAGAGAGAGNAAAACGTGAGTGAGTGAGTGAGAGAGATGCTGGAGAGAGATAGGAAAAGAAACGTGAGTGAGTGAGAGAGAGAGTACAGACTCCATTCTATTTGGGAGACACAGAGAAACGTGAGAGGGCNGAAACGTGAGTGAGTGAGAGAGATGCTGGAGAGAAATAGGAAAAGAAACGTGAGTGAGTGAGAGAGAGAGGTACGAGAGAGAGAGTACAGACTCCATTCTATTTGGGAGACACAGAGAAACGTGAGAGGGCAAGTCTGAAACACTGTCCTATTGTCTCTTGGAGAGTGTATGGGCGGGAGAATTTTTGAAAATAACTTTTGGTTTGTTGGACCAATAATCTTGAAATGATCTAAGGCGTTCAAACTATTTTATAAGTTTGGGGGTTTAAAAATTTTTGTACTTTATTATATAGATAGTCCTAGTTTTGGTAGAAGACTGTNGAATTTTTGAAAATAACTTTTGGTTTGTTGGACCAATAATCTTGAAATGATCTAAGGCGTTCAAACTATTTTATAAGATTGGGGGTTTAAAAATTTTTGTACTTTATTATATAGATAGTCCTAGTTTTGGTAGAAGACTGTCTGTAAATGATAATGTGTTATTTTCGGATTCAAGCATCTATATTATCATTTTTCAAAGCTGATGTTATTGGTCAAGTTGGAGATGATTGAAACTCAATGGATCTAGGAATCGTGTTTCTCCTTTTGCATGAATGTTTCTGTGAGGATATGTAACCTTTTCTGATAATTAGCTACAAAAATGATCGAATGTTAGGTTTTGTTATTCATTATTGTTATGTAATTGCATGTATTGTCCTCCAGATTTCTTTGTTAGAAGAGTGTGGATCTTATGATAGAGCTCTTGAGGAGTTGCACAAGAAAGAGTCTAAAATAGTAAGTACAGATTATTTGGTTTGCTACCAGAATGAGTCTACAGAACTTTTACATTTCCTAATTGAGCTTGGATATTGACTCTATTTGGTAAATGTCACCATAGGTTGATAAATTATCTTACAAGGAACAAGAGGTTGCTCTTCTAGTGAAGCTTCGCCACCTTGAAGAAGGTGCAAAATTGTACAGGGTGCTGCTTTCTATGAATCCTGACAATTACAGGTAGGTAATTATCTTTTTCGTTTAGAAATTTATATTATTATGACTCCATGACTAAGTTCATGCAACTAGAATGTCCAGTTAGTGAACAATACTCGAAATCAGACGAGTAATAACCTTATAGCTGGTGTTTTGGTTAAATTGTATTTTGGCATAGAAGAAGATATGTTAAGTGTGTTGTTCAAGCCATCTAAAAGATAGTTGGGTATCTTATGCTTATGATTCGCACACCTGCAGACTGAAAGCTATGCTTCTGTCATTGTTGGATTGTTTAGGTCATTATTGCTAATAAATCAGAGGGTCAGCATTTTTTTTAGTTAGTTAAGTTTTTTTCTCCTTATGGCATCAATGGCTTCTTTTTGTGGACTTTTTGAGGCTTAATTGAGGAAGATTCCTTAAGTGTACCTCATCGAATGCCATTGTTTTTTTGTCTTTCATTGTGACAGTCTCAATTGTACTTTTGGGCTACAGTATCAGTTTGGAACTGGGGATTGTTCTCAGATGATAATGGTGGGTTGGGATAATACTAGATTTCAGGTTAAAAGCTATAGAAACAATTATCTTGATGCTTCAATTTGTTTTTGACACTTATTCAATCCACTTCGTTTGTTACGAATATTGGTAATTAACACAGAATTTCATTTTTTTACACAATTTCCTTTTTACTATTAACGCTCTACATCTTTTGGGCCTCCCTTCTGAAGTCTTTTAGTTTTTTCTAGTTGAGAATTTGTTTCCTTCTCAGATAAATGTTAAGTTGGCCTCTTCAATGTAGTTTTCTCTGGCTTTCTTTTCTTTTTTTTTTTTCTAGTATTTTGTTTCAGACTTGTTGAACCGCTTTGATGCTATGGATTATTTCTCTTGCTTATTGTTTTCTGTTGTTGGAAGTTCTTAAAGTTTGGAAACAGATGTATCATTGGTGATTTTGGCAGTTGAAACCTTTTTTTGAATTACTGTACTGAAGTTTTTGTATAAGTGGGGAAAGGTTACTTGTATTTCAAAGAACTAGTCTTTTGGTCAGGTATTTCAAAAATCAAATCACAATATCTTAGCCTTTTTTTTTTTTTTTTGGTTTTTTTTAACAAATTTGGAATTAAGACATATCATGATTCCACTTCCATCTTTTACCACTCGAACCAAGGCCAAGGTGCTGCGCATTAGATCTTTCTGAAAACATGAGTTAAAGATTGGTGTAATGTTGGGAAAGAAGGTTAGCCATTTTGTTTGATGTTGACAGGTTTCTACGTATCAACTAATTGTTTGTAGAAGCTGGTGCTGTTGCATAGTAGTTATATTTTTCTTTAATTTTACGCAAAAAGCAAAAAAATGAAGAAAAATAAATATTTCTCTCGGGTTATAATTTGTTTCAATAACATGAGCTGGTATAGCATCTCCATTATTTCGTTTTCTTTGTGTTGGTAGAAGGAGTGGATTGCATATTCCCTTGGTTTGTATTCCTTATTCCTGCAAAAGTAACTAACAGGATTATCTCTCTTTTTTTCTTTGCTTAGATATTATGAAGGGCTACAAAAGTGTGTTGGACTATATTCAGAAAGTGGACTGTATACCTCAGACGAAATTGATTTGTTAGAGGCCTTGTACAAATCACTTGGGCAGCAATACAATAGGTCGTCTGCTGTTAAGGTGGCACATTCCCCTGAATTTCTTTTCCTATTCCTTTTTTCCTTCCCCCTCTCGCACCTTTGCCTCTTTGTTTAAACTGGAGGATATCCTTTCATTGAAATGGAAAAGAAATTTGTCTATTATTAAGTTGGAAAACCTTGTGGGATTCTGAAATCATGAATGGACTGTCGAGCTGCTCTTCTATGTATAGTGCATTTGTGCCTGCATGTGTACATTTTTCCTGCTTTTACCAAGCTTCTTGTTAAGCACACATCATGGACTTATCTTGGATGTGGTATTTTCGTATAAGTTGTTGGGATTATCTTTCCATTTGTGTCTGTAAAGTTGGCAATTCTGTATTTCTAATGTTTTTCGAATTCTTGCACAACCTTATTTCTGGCTTTTGATTAAGTTTTTACTGTAACGTTGGCTTGATGTATCATAAGATTTTGAAGTCCCTCTGAAGGTAGCTCCTCTGTATATTTCTTCAACTTTTTAATAAAACATTATATTATTAATCAACTATGATTGGGACACTTGGTGGCCATGAGCCATCATGGCCTAATTAGATCACCACAAATTGCTAATTTTAGGAGTTTGTTACCATTGTTAGCTTGTTTTTTTCTGGTGGATAATTAGTCTGATAACTTATAATGAATATCAGAAATTCAGTGATTTCCTTTTTTTTAATGTAAACTTATGCAAATATTATGTTTTAAAATTTTGTTTTCCAATATCTTTAGTGTAGAGATAATAGATGAACTTTAAGGATTTGTATGAATATTTTTTGTTTTTTCCTTTGTCAGAGAATACCACTCGATTTTCTAAATGTAGAAAAGTTCCGGGAAGCGGCAGATAATTATATCAGACATCTCTTAACTAAGGTAGTTAGCTTTTTTTGTTTCATTTTTGTGATTTGTCATCCTAGTCTTAGAAGCAAAGCTTATACTACTTTTTTGTGATAAATTCAGGGGGTACCTTCATTATTTTCTGATCTGTCTCCTCTCTATGATCACCCTGGGAAGGTTGGTCCTAACACCTTGAATAGAGGATCTGACGAAACTGTGAGGAAAATAAAGGCTGTAAATTTTGTTATGTAAAGAGAGCTTTGTTTTATTAGCTATTTTTTTTGGTGTTTGCTTCTTCCATACAGGCAGACATACTGGAGCAATTGATTCTTGAGTTGCAGCACTCAATCAAGACGACTGGGGGATTTCCTGGGAGGTAATATAATTGTACTTTCTCAACTGTTGCTTGATAATTGTGCATCTTATTACTATTGGAGACATGCTGTGAAACTTTGACTAGGAAACTTGATCCCTGTTCTAACGTGCTATGGCCTGTTTCATGTAAATTGATTTCTTGATTTCCTTATCATTTGTTATATGCTGATGAGTTATATGCGTTGGTTTTCTTCTTAGTTGGGCTGCTATGATCCTCTTGGGTTTGTTAGAGGTCTATGACAGTGATTTGTTCTTTTGGCTCCTGAAGGCTATTACTATAACACACAAAGACACACATATGCCTACATGTACTTTATTACTGCATATAATAACAAATATCAGATTGGTACCCACTTTGTCTCTGTGACCACACTGGTTTTTTTCATATTTGTCTATTAATGGTTTTAAGAGTTCTTATTTTTTTTTATGTTTTATATTTGTAAGCTAGTGTGGGGTAATATTGTAATTACCCAACATATTTTTCAATATAAATAAGATTTTGTAGGGCAACAATGCTACACTGAAATTATTCTCTACTAATCTTCTCTCTCTTCCTATTGTCTCTTCTTCTTACAAACCCTAATATCTCTTTCATAATTTTAACTAATGGGATGGACGATGTATTTCCACACGTAACTAATCAATTTTTAAATTTATTTGATTTGTGTGATCAAGATTCTGCTAGAATATCCAATGATCCTCCTTTGAATCAGCATCTTGATCTTTCTACTAATCATATAAGAACCTTAGAGCCTCGCCATACTACAAGGTTTGAGTTGGTGTATGAAATGGAAGTTTTAAAGCTTACCAGGGAAGGTACGACTTGAGGTGCTCCCAATTGCCCTCAATTGTCATTTTTAGTGCTCTTACGTATAGGAGTGGTTCATTTCTCAAGAATGATGCCTAAACTGTACGGACTTTTATAGCCCATCACCTTTCTACTACCATGAACATATGATATCTATTACGGTTTATACAGGTTCAGTTAAATATGAGTCAAGCACTCATATTGTACCTGCTGTATTATATTTAAAATTAGTATCATTTTGAAGCATTTGTTCCTATTCACTGCTAAGCATTTCTCCCTGCATGCAGAGCCGACAAAGAGCCTCCGTCAACATTTATGTGGACTTTGTTTTACTTGGCTCAGGTTTCTTGCCATCACTTGCAAAATTGGTTTCTTTTTTTTTTTTTAGCTCTGTACTTTCACTTGATTATTATTATTTTTTTAGTGAATTGTCTAAATGGTATTCTATTGATGCAGCATTATGACAGGCGTGACCAATATGACATTGCTCTTGCAAAAATTGATGAGGCTATAGAACACACACCAACTGTGATTGATTTATACTTAGTCAAGGTGCTTTATGCTTTGTGGCATCATATGTATGTATTTGCCGATATTATTGACTAATCTGCCAGTGTATGGTATCTATGTTTTTCAATGACTACACATTATAAAGACCCATTTTCTTCTCTTGCTATGTTTCTTGAAGTGGAAAACTGATTCATAAAGTTTGGTTACATTTCATTCTTGTACATACCATAAAAGTATTTGATAGCTTACTAATTGTTGGTGTATCTATCAAAAAAAAAATCTTACTAATTGTTGGTGTGGTATCATCTTCTTTAAAAAAAAAAAAAAAGATTAAGCTGATACAAATTGTATATTAGAATTGTGCAAGTGAATCTTTGAATGAAGATTTCTGCAAAAGTTATTCTTACTCAAATTCAGTCTTGTAATAGGGGTTAGGAATTGGAGCTGGGAAAAATCAAAGTAAGTAATTGGACACTTATTCAGGAGACGATACCCTCATTGCCCAACTTTGCTTTTTTTTTTTCTGCCTTCCTCTCCCTCTCTCTTGGTTGCTTGAATGCTGAGAGGTCCATACACAACTTCCATGAAATCCTGCCACATTCACCTTCTGATGCCCAGAAGAGGCAGTTAATTGTGGGTATTAGAATATTGGCTACAGCTGATACACTCATACTCAGAAGATAGTGAAATTGTATTGAGATAGCTCCACAAAAAAACAAATGACTCAAACTTCCAATCTAAATCTTAAGTTTGTTGTAATACGTACTAAAGTGCAATGCATCCACTTTAATTTGAATCATGTATCATCATGGTAGTCTTGTGTCTTCATGCATCTTACCTGTGCTGATTTCCTGCTGACATTTAAACTACTGTCATTTGGATTTTATTTTTTATTACTGTACACATGGACCTGTATAGGAAATGCAGGTTTAAGAATCATTTCAAACCCCAGGTGTAGGTTGTGGTTCTTTTCAAGGGGATTTATGTGTTTTGCTATTTACAACAGAGTCGGATATTAAAGCATGCTGGTGACTTCGCAGCTGCTGCTGCATTGGCGGATGAAGCTAGGTGTATGGATCTTGCAGATCGCTACATCAATAGTGAATGTGTCAAACGAATGCTGCAGGCTGATCAGGTTTTAAAGCTGCATTTTTAAGTTTTCACCCTTCCTATTCTAATAAGTGGGCTTGCTTTTCCTTTGAGATAACTTCCCAACCCATAAAGAACCGGACGTATGCATAATGCATGATGTTTTTTACACATTATTCTTCATCATATGATGTGTGTTTCTCCCCTTGCTCAAGTTTCCAGTGTATGATTATGCTTTCATATGGAATATTTATTTGAAGGTTGCACTGGCAGAAAAGACAGCTGTATTGTTCACAAAAGATGGTGATCAGCATAATAACCTTCATGATATGCAGTGCATGTGGTGCGGCACTGATTTAAACTGAATAATGAGTTTCCCTTAAAAATGAGGATATTGGTTGCACCTGAATGTGTTACATTATCAATGTTTGAAGGTATGAACTTGCGTCTGGGGAAAGTTACTTCCGCCAAGGTGACCTTGGACGGGCTTTGAAGAAATTCTTAGCTGTGGAGAAGCATTATGCAGATATCACAGAAGACCAGTTTGACTTCCATTCCTACTGCTTAAGGAAAATGACTCTGCGGACTTATGTGGAAATGCTGAAGTTCCAAGATCGGCTCCATTCGCATGCTTATTTTCGCAAAGCAGCAGCTGGAGCCATCAGGTGATGATTTCTTCCATGTTCCTCCACGACTTGACAATGTAGTCTTTGGTTCCCATCTGGTCAATTTCATGCATGTAAATATGCTTTCAGGTGGACTGCTATTTAATTTTAGATGGCTGACATTTAGTTGTTCATTACATTTAACTTATTAATCTCATTGATCAGTTCTGGTGCAACTGTTGACTGTCTTGTTATTTGTACTTCATTTAGGACTGCAAATGAACCGAGCTGTTCATGAACAGCTTGGGATCAGCTCATATTGGAGTTCATTTGAATTCACACATTTATAAGATGAACCGAGCTTGAGCCCAGAGGTTGCACGATGCCTTGTTCAACTCATCAGACTGTTGAAAGTGAATATATAATATACATTATCTTCGTGCTTGTATAACTTACATACACATAATATGTTTGGCATATATAAAGGAAGAGATGAATCTTGTATCTATCTTGTTTATGTATAAAACATGGACCAATAGAAATTATATGGTGTAGAAATTGTGAAGTGATGGTTTGATATGCTGTAAATACTATATAATGGAAAAACAAAAGAAAGTAAAGAGCATGTGATGGAATAACTAGTTAGCAGTAGAAACTATGAAATACAGAAGCAGTGAACCTCAATCTCGAGTCAATTGTTCTAGTGGGAACAACGCCAAATAAGCTGTAAGCATTCCAGTCTTTGTTTAAGTGGGAACAAATCCCACATCGAAGCAAAAGCAAAAAGAGCAGTGGGAAGTGCCATATAAGCAAGGCATTTGGCTGCTCATTTCCTTCATGTTAGCAAATGGAGCATTGACATAGTTTGGAAGCTTCTAACTGTAGCAAGCCAAGTTTTGGTTATCCCAACCTTGCAAAGAATTTAATGAGACAGGTTTGAACAAATTTTTGGAAGCCCATTACGATCCCGAGCCAATCCCAAATATGTTCTAAAAATGGCCAAGCCAAGCTAGAACAATGTGGTATTTGGCTCGGCTCGGGGTTCATTTTCACACCTAACTTCATTGATCAACTGCAAGCCTGCAGAAGGAATCTATTCAAATGAGGTCATAATGTGATTTTTTGCAATCTTCACAATCATGATCACTTGCTTTGACATGCAGATGCTACTTAAAGCTGTATGATTCTCCTCCAAAGTCATTAGCTGAAGAAGATGATGAAATGGCCAAATTGGCTCCTTCTCAGAAAAAGAAAATGAGGCAAAAGCAGAGGAAGGCTGAAGCCCGAGCCAAGAAAGTATTTTTTTGCTCCTTATATCTTCTGAAAAATCTGTGTCTGAATAACTAGTTCTAAGTTTTTACTTTTTATTAGGAGGCAGAAGTGAAAAATGAGGAATCAAGTGCAAGTAATGCCTCTAAAACTGGAAAACGCCATGTTAAACCAGTAGATCCGGACCCACATGGAGAAAAATTATTGCAGGTAGGATTTCTGATTGCTTCTGGACATTTCCAGTCACCTCGTCAGATTTCATCTCTTATGTTTTGGATGGATAAGATCTTGCCACTTGAGAATATTTACTTGTGCAGGTTGAAGTTCCTTTGTTGGAAGCTACAAAGTACTTGAAGCTACTTCAGAAGCATTCTCCTGATTCCTTAGAGACACATTTGCTTTCATTTGAAGTAAATATGAGAAAGCAGAAAATCTTGCTTGCTTTCCAGGTAGCTTCATTTGTTGTGTGGAATCTTGAAGAGAATTTTTTAAGTTTTCTGTCAGCCGTCATGTTTGGTAGGTTATACCATATGAACTTAATAGCATTTTAGGCTCAGTTGAACTTTTTTTTTTTTTTCGGAAGGTAGTTGAACTTTGTCAAGAAATAGAATTCATTTGATGTGTGCACCAACTAGAAAAGTGTGTTTTTAACAACATGAAATGGTGTTACTAATATTCTCTTGTGAGATTTTTTTCCCTTTGGTTTTCGCGTGTAATTGGCATTATATCAGTAACTGCTTCCAGTCCCTAGCTTGTGGCTACAAGAATCATATATAATATATTCTCTTGTTATCTTATGGAAGGGGTGAAGATGGTCTTTGTTTCTTTTCTTCTTTTTTTTCCTGCCCTGTAGGCAGTAAAGCAGTTACTGCAGTTGGATGCTGAAAACCNTTACAAGAATCATATATAATATATTCTCTTGTTATCTTATGGAAGGGGTGAAGATGGTCTTTGTTTCTTTTCTTTTTTTTTTTCCTGCCCTGTAGGCAGTAAAGCAGTTACTGCAGTTGGATGCTGAAAACCCAGACTCCCATCGCTGCTTGGTATGTTCCGTTGGTAACTATGTATTCTTATGAAACTGTGTAATACACAATCACTCTTTCTACGTTTGTATGCATACATGGCATGTGTTCATGACAAGTTAAACCTTTGCTAGGAGAGGCAACCTGCCATCTGGGCTGCACATCCTGATTGAAAACTTGTTTTCTTGCAGATAAGATTCTTTCATAAAGTGGGGTCCATTCCTGCTCCAGTGACAGACTCTGAGAAACTTATTTGGGGTGTCTTAGAAGCAGAGCGGCCTAATTTGAGGTTATCTTTCATCTAGGATGCTGTTTTTTTTTTTATCGTCTCTTCTTTGCCCCCCACAGTGTATTAATTTATTTCATTGTATTTCTTTATCCTTTTGTAGTCAGTTGCATGAGAAATCTCTCATCGGGGCAAACACCTTTTTTCTTGAGAAACATAAAGGTCATCACCTATCTGTATGCTTTACTAGTACATGCAACTCCCATGCCTTTTCTATTGATAGTGTCATACTGGTTTCTTGTTTGCAGATTCCTTGATGCATAGAGCAGCAGCTGCAGAAATGCTTTATGTTTTGGAACCAAACAAGAAGGCTGAGGCTATCCAATTGATTGAAGAATCATCCAACAACCCGGTCTCAACGTAATGTCTCTTAGTATATTTAGCGTTGTCTATGCTGATTTTTCACTGCTGCGTTGTATATTACTTTTGATGGCATACTTTCAAACTATGTTTATTTACTGAAGTCTACTTTTTTTCCTAAATTAGAAAGGGAGCACTTGGATCTGTCAGGGAGTGGAAACTCAAAGATTGCATCACGGTTCACAAACTTCTAGGAACAATTTTGGCTGACCAAGATGCTGCATCAGGTAAGTTCTGCACTTCACTTGCTTCATGCTGGTTTGATGTTTCAAACACCTATATGAGTGGAGAGGCCTCTTAAGCATATAAACCAACCAAGGGTGATCCTAACCATTAACCATTCAATGTGGGATACAAACTCTCATTAGTTTATAGTTGCTATAGGAAATGAGACGAGGTTATACATTGCACAACATTCTTTTGAAATTTGGAAACTAGTGGCAGGTGTGAGCTGTATGGAAAGTTGATATGTGCAGTCTCTAATCTTTTCTAGACATCTATCGTCAAATCAGTGAAAAAAGAAGAGAAGTGAGGCACACATACATCTCCATTTTCCCCAATTTATTTGTAGTGCAAAATTGATAAAAAATCAAATGATTTGTCACAGGATCAATCTAGCTTTTCAATTTTGCTCTGTTGTCTGCCACTAGCGATGCTAGCATCTAGGCCGACTGTTGCTTGTCATTATACATAACCATGTATACTTTTTTCAAGCATGATACATAGGATGTCAAGTTTGCTGTACTTACCATGACAGTCATAAGAGTAGAACTTGTGTAGATAATAGTGCAATGTATTTTTTGTTGTAGGATGGAAGGTGAGATGTGCAGAATACTTCCCATACTCAACATACTTTGAAGGTAGCCACAGCTCTGCTGTGACAAATTCATCTTACAAGAAGATATACAAGAACCCTGAAACTATGGGTCCAAATCATCCAGATGCTAATCAAAGCACCGAGTTTCTTTCGTCAAATGGAAATGTAGAAAAGATCGGGGGATTTAAGGATCTTGTCCTCTAATCACTTAATAGGTGAGACATGTTTGCTATCTTTCTCCAAGAGGTTTACCAAGTCCGGGTGATGAAGAGTCATAAAACCATGTTGCGGCTTTAAGAAAATATCTAGATTCAAGGAGAAAGCTCACCCTGGGGGGATGACTTCAAGATTTTGTAAGTTATGGCAAGATCCCATTTAGTGTTGTGTTGAGATTGAATTTTGTTTTTTGTCCAGTTCCACCTCCACGCCTTTCCAGCATTCATTGCTTTGCAAATGTATACTAATTCTAGCCCCATTGTGCTTCAAAAGTCGTCGTATTCTTGATTTGCTTGTTTTCTGGTGAGATCCCTGTACGAGGGGTTCTATGGCCTTGCATTGCAAAATTTTGAATGACCTAGTTAAAGGGAGCGCTGCAGAAGTTTTCAGACAACCGGTCCTTTCCTGTCAGCATAGAACACTAGCCCTTAGCCAACCTATCTCAAGAGAATGTTGTACTTGCCTCGTTTTATTGACCATTATTCATAATGTATAGATGCTGTTTATGTGAGAAAATTTTGTCAAGGAATAATACAATTAACCAAGTGATAGATTCAAGTAATTGCATGATCGAAATACAATTAAGGTAAGTTGCCAGATTTTACTCTGGCTTTGACTATTCTTGTATTTGAATTCCTTCTCAATCCCATTGTGCTTGTACCACCCGACAGTACTCTGGCTTATAAGCCATTTCTTTTAGGGCTATTTGTGATTTGAACCAGTAATATTTTTCATACATATATTTTAAAACTTACACTCATGGTTTGGGACCGAATTGCGGATTACCTTTTCTGTTTGTACTTTGATTGCAAATTGTGGGGGGTTATATTTTAATTTTTAAAATATACTAGGAAGTAAAGTATCATTAGTTCAAATCACGCAAAGGAAAATGTAATTGATCATGTTGTGGCACAAACAAGAACACCCAAATAATGAAAGGATATGACATGGATTTAGAAAAAGGGTAAAAATTCAACCACAAAATATTGAAACCTCGAGAGTCCTCTCACAATCCACCTTTTTGATCGATACATATACTTGTATCATTAATCTTTTTTATGAAAATAAAACAAGTGACGATAAGTAAAGTTACCATCAATGCATTACTCACCAGATGAGTTAATACAAGCAATCAGGGCAATATAGTAACTTTCCAGTGTCGCGGCACATGACCAAGAAGAGCACACACACACACACACACACACACTTATGGACAGATGATAATCACACTGGTTCTAGTGGCGGAATCATTTCCAAAGGGTGAAATTGTTGAGGTCCATATAGTTTTCACATACCTACAACTCATGTACTGTGTTATCCATTATATTATAGGAACCACATATCCCAGTTTACAATAGTTGAATCACTTGCCTGAGGTCTCATGTGTGTTTAAATACCATCACTTTGCAAATGGAAGGGCACCTAAGGGTAGCTTTCACTCACCACAGCAGCTCTACGTGAGTTGGGGCTGAGTAACCAGGAACTAAAACACGTTGATCCCATACACACCTTCAGCTGACACATTACCCGCCCTCTGCTCGCTCTGATGTTGGCTGGAGTTTGTGGTTGATGATGAAGCCCCACCATTTTCCCCGATCTCACATTTACAAAGAGGGCACAATGCATTAATCTTCAGCCATTTATCTACGCAATCGATGTGAAAAAAATGAGAGCAGGATAGTTCTCTCAATTCCTCATTGTCTACGTATTTTGCCAAGCAAATACAACAAACCTGCACCAGATTGAAGGTAACTGATTTAAATATTAATCATCCATAGAAATCAGCACATCACCAAGCAGAGGATGCATTCTGTAATGAGCTTTCAGAATATGGGAGTGTCTAGCAGCCAAAACACATAATACAAGCTAAACTACGAAGGCACTAAGACATTATTGTAAGAAAAGGAAACTACAAAATCTGCCACTTTTCTGAATTGCAAGTGGCCACTTTCAAGTATCTGAATATGATTTGAGCTGACGTTCCACAAACATTTTGGTTGGGAGGTTCATGGCTTTCATTTGGAATTAAACACAGCTCTCTGGTGCAAGTCCAAATAGGGACAATTGGTCATCAAAATCGAAGAAAAGTAAATCCAAAAATTAATATCAAACTTACAGCGTCTTCTCCTGATATGGTACGCTCCTTTTCAGTTCCTGCAGCCAAGACTCCACCTTCACAAGTTCCCGAGTTGATGTCCTGATTGTCACCTCTTTTCTTCAGCTTGAACTTGTATGTTGGGAGAGCATTAATGGATTCCATCGAGGCTCCCTTAGTCTGAGAAAGATCCTCTTGGATACCCAGGATAGAAATCATACAGGGCAAGCAGCAACAGATCGTTGCACACAGTATAAAGGGCATGGCATACCCAATACAACTAAAGGTTAGGAATACTATACATAACCTGCAAAATCATGTCAGAAGTAGTAAGCAACTTAAACTAGGTGGAAGGCCAATAGTGGTTGATAAGCATATGGCATTTATTGGTACCTATACAACTTAGGAGCATCTGAAGGAGAAGAGTGACCTCCAAAAATCCACACATTACCTACGACAAACCACACTGCAAAAAAGCAATCCAGGGCCATCTTGAAGTGGTCCACAAGGCTGTTAAGGCTGCAATAAGAAACCCACTTCTCACTAAAGCACACCATCTATAATTTCAGTGTAAGATGAATAATGCTTTACTAGAAAACAAGTCTTAAGCTTCACACTTCAAGCAATGAATAACACGTGCCATCAAGAAAAACACTAAAAGAAAAATGGCCTTTAGTTTTGCCTCTTAAACTTCCTAACATTAGCCCATATATGACATGCTCATTATACAAAGCAGTAACAGGAAGCAAGTTCAAAAAGTTCAACTGATATATCCATCAGCAATAATTTCCCACAGCAGTTTTCTTCTGTGTGGTGGCAAAGACGCTTTGCATGTTAAAATAACACCAACTAATCCACATGCAGATTTATACTATTGAATTTCTGTTCAACTTTATGCATCCTATTTTAATCCATTCTAATAACATGCCTCCTCCACCCCTCCATAGGGCAACAAGCGGGTAACAGAGGACACACATCACCTGTCTGCTTTTGCATGTGTGATGAGAATTAGCATATGATTTAGCGAGACAGTGTAACAAGAATCATATACCATTGGTTTTGGATAGATACTTTAATATCGTATTAGAGCTAGGTTTCAATAGGTCAACACTAAAGTCTCAATTACTTGGATTAGTCTCCCCATATTTGTTTATTCTTATGCGAGTGGTGGTCCAATGTTGCTGAAGGGTACTGGAACTTGTCCCACGTCAGTAGTGCAAAGCCTCTTAGACAAGAAACAAAATCTTCTTCTGATACTTGACATAATCCGGTGAACGTACCGTGCCCTCAAGCTTTGGGTGATCTGACTGCTTGAAGCGGCTGCATTCGCGATTTGATGGTTTTCCTCTCCAGAAGATTGAGCAACGGAAATAGCTGTGTATGAAGCAGGTTCAGATGAAGAATTGTTTTGAGATGATCCCTGATGTAAATGAGTCGTATCTTGAGCAGTTCCTTGATTGCGATTACGATAACGCCAATAAATAATAGGAAGCATTGCAACACATCCAGATGCATAACCCAGAACCCAGGCAAATAACGGGGCTTGTGGATTTTCATGTCTTGACAATGACAAAACAACAATAGATGCTATAATTTGGCCCACATTGACACCTAGCTCAATAGAAATCCATAGCCCTGAATTCAGTGGACTTCTACGGCGACTAGCATAGCCTTCACTTCTCCTTATAGATGGAGAGTTCCTAGAGTTGACAGTACTTGAAGACAACACGGGAGATTGATAAGTGACAGCCTGTATGCTACTTGATGATCTGTCCTCGTGCTGTGGTGGCTCTGCTCCAGGAGGAGGATCCTCATTAGACAGGCTTGACAAAGCATCATCTCTCCTTGATATATCAACAACATGCTCGCAATCACAATGGTTTTCCTTCTGAGCCATTAGCAATGGAAATCTATCAGTAGCTTCAGTTTCACTTGGTGGTTCCGGGGAGGGAACATCCATCTAAGTCTACCAATAAATTTGGTCGGAGAGAAATCATAGACGGAAATGATGAGCTTTTCAAGTTCCCATCCAAGACTTGTCTTGTCTAGGTAGTGAGTGGCACAAAACACCTCCCTACCCCTTGTTGTCCAATGTCCAAGAAACTAGACTGTACTTGTGCTGTATCACCATCCAACAATTCGCCGTCCAATATCCAAGAAACTTGACTGTATTCGTGCTGTTGGCAGAAGAAGTCACAATATCAGGAAAAAATGTTTCTAATTTTTCTTTCAGTATCAAACTGAATTAGAAGTAAATAAAGATTGCTCAAATTAGTAATAAATAATCATTACACAACAACATCATCATATAGCTTTATACACACAGTGGTGACTTCCATTGTAGGCAATAAATTACATTTGCATCCCACATTACATAGTGAGACCTTAAATGCCACGCAGACTTTATTCTGAAAATACTAGTCCACAATAGGCTAAACTATGTACAAATGAAGTCTACTAAGAGCAACTCCAATATGCTCGGTAAAAGCCATTTTTTAGCTATTTTGAAGAGCCAATCCCAAAAATTTCTCTCAAACCGGCTCTCGATTCCACTAGCTATTTTACCTCCCCTATTTTCACTCGCTACTTCTGGCAAGTGAGGCTCCCTCGCTATTTGCTTTTTGCGCCAAATTTTGTGGTCGGTCTTCTTGTGCAATGGCTTCATCGTCTTCATCAGAGCTTGTCTTCACCCAAGTATGAATCCCTCTCTCTCTCTCTGTGCTTGAGCCAACAGAAACCCTAGTGCCCAAATAGAAACCTGAGATGATTTTGACACCCCAAATGATGAAATCAAGAATTCAGAAGATCACTGTGGTCTGTTCTGCGAGGTAGAAGACCACTATGGTCTGTTCTGCGTAGCGTGGTGAAGAGTTTTGGGAGGAGATGTGTTCAATTTTTATTTTTTTCTGGAATTTTTCTGGTTTTCTGGTTTAGCAATGAATGACAGAATCTAAGTAAATGGTTTGAACTAAAAACATGATCTAATTTGCATTGATCCTAGAATTTTTATGTATTAGCTATGAATTCATTTTGCACCTATGCTTTGGCATTTTATCAAACACTTGGTTGGCACGTATTATTGAAAGTTAGTTAAAATAATTAACTAAAATAGGGATCGTGGTCGGAGTAAATTTGTAAAAATAACTAGCTAAAGTAGAGAATGTAATACTTAAATATATTTTGCCTNGTTAACTAAAATAGGGAGCGTGGTCGGAGTGAATTTGTAAAAATAACTAGCTAAAGTAGAGAATGTAATACTTAAATATATTTTGCCTAACCATTTTTACAGTTAACAAAAAACCAGTAGAATCTGAATTTTGGGCACAGTTAACAAATACATCAACCTCAGGTGTCTGAGCTAATTCTTGATTGTCAGTTAAGTAGATGACAAACCCACCATCCATCCTCTGACTATTAGTAGCCACTAATAAACACCAACCAACCGAAAAAGGCAAAAAAAATAAAAATAAAAAAAATAAAATTCAACAAAATCTATTCAAGCTGAGAACCGAAAGACCCCACCTACTGTAATGTGCTCTAATTCATATACAAAGTATTATCAATCGAAATCTAACATGTAAGCATGGATTATCGATTAAAAGACAAACGAATAGATGCAAACCGAATAATAATTTGCGAATTTGCAGAGATAATAAACACCCTAGATGAAAAGGAGAGAGCTCTGCAACCATAAAAATGGAGAGAGGAAATTTGTACCAGATTCAAGTCGACAGTGGTGTTAGTAGGACCACTGGGAGGAGCATCGGAGAGATTAGAGACGCCTTTGGAGTTCAAATTTTACTTTCTATCAACTCTTTACTCGAAAACTATTTTCTCGAGAAAGTACTGTGTAGCTTTCCTCTCCCAGAGAGCAGACGGAGAGGAGAGAGAGAGAGTATACGTTAAGATCAGATATGGTAGTAAAATGTTTTTGGACCGTTGATTGTGGAACTGTCATTTCGGATCAGTCGGTTTTTATCTGACAAACTACAATCTGACGGCGAGGAGCTATCATGTAGGTCTGGTGTTAATTTCAAGCTAGCGTACTTCCAAATTAAAATAATTAAAAAAATCATATTATAAAATAATAATATTTTATATATAAAGCACAATAACATCGTTTATATCCAACAATTTATCTTATAACTTATAATTTAGTTATGATAAATTATTTAATCATAATATATTGTTTAACTATACTTATTATATTAATATTAAAAAAAAATTACCTCACTTTTTTTTTTAATCTCAATAAATCATTCTACTTCTATCTTTACCATTGTAAGAAAATGAGTATATACTATTTAAAAAAATAAAAAAAATGCAGCAATAAATTACAGTGAACCCTCAGACGACCTATCAAAGATTAGAGGAGAGATCCTTAGTAATGGTTCACTCTTCCACCAACTGATACATATAATGAATGTTCAAACGAAAAAGTTGACTTCTGGGTCTAAAACGAAGTCTTNATATTAATATTAAAAAAAAATTACCTCACTTTTTTTTTAATCTCAATAAATCATTCTACTTCTATCTTTACCATTGTAAGAAAATGAGTATATACTATTTAAAAAAGTAAAAAAAAATACAGCAATAAATTACCGTGAACCCTCATACGACCTATCTAAGATTAGGGGAGAGATCCTTAGTAATGGTTCACTCTTCCACCAACTGATACATATAATGAATGTTCAAACGAAAAAGTTGACTTCTGGGTCTAAAACGAAGTCTCCAAAAAATCCTGAGTGAACTCAAACTCGTGGAAATTGATCATATGTATACTATGACATTTGTTTGTTGACCCAATAAGATGATAAAAAAGATATGAAATCAAAATCTATGTCTCTATACCATGTTATGGTCTGAAATCCTAATCTTTTTGAAGGTTTCATCCTTCGAACTTACCTTTAGGCTTCTTCAAGTCAAGTTACTTAGTTTAGAAAAAGAAAAGGATACAAATCTTACCAACATCTAAAAAACAGACACTAGAGCAGCAACTCTAGAATCTGTGTGNAATCCTAATCTTTTTGAAGGTTTCATCCTTCGAACTTACCTTTAGGGCTTCTTCAAGTCAAGTTACTTAGTTTAGAAAAAGAAAAGGGTAGAAATCTTACCAACATCTAAAAAACAGACACTAGAGCAGCAACTCTAGAATCTGTGTGGAGCTTAAAGCATACTATTTGAATGTTGGCTTTGGAGTTCTGTTCCTTCCATGTCGATAGTGGACCCCCGCCCTAAGGTATGATGTAAGTCCTTGATCAGATTCTCGTTCTTTGTTGCGATTAATGTTTCTTCTTTGTTAAAACCCTATTCTTTATCTTATTTAGTTCGATTCGGTAGTGACCGAGAATCTTTCGTATCTTGTTCCCTACTTCACTAATATTCAAGCATTCATTCCGGCCNAATTAATGTTTCTTCTTCGTTAAAACCCTATTCTTTATCTTATTTAGTTCGATTCGGTAGTGACTGAGAATCTTTCGTATCTTGTTCCCTACTTCACTAATATTCAAGCATTCATTCCGGCCACAAATCCATCTGATAAAACAACAAGGATTGATGAATTGGAGATGCATCTATCGATACTAGTGGTGGAGATAGNTATGCCTCTATCGATACTAGTGGTGGAGATAGTAGGCTCTACGGTTCATTCGTATCCTATGAATTGGAGATACTTAGTAGATTGATGGATATTTGTGGTACCAGATATGGAGGAAGGAATCAATGAATGCAAAGAAAGATTCCCTCTATGGAAGAATGAATGGCATGGCAAGACAAGAATAAGAAGATGCCTTCTCCTTTCCCACCCCTTCTTCATTCTCCTTTTTCTGGCTCTATCAAGGAGTGAACGATTCAACCATTAATAGAATCTTTGACGCCTGAGAAATCGGATTCAAGGGGATGGCACGCTATAGGTGAGGATATTTCCGTAGATGAGAATTATCCATCTATGAGTCCTATGCCTGTATAGGATCGATAAATCATATTTGTTTTCTTATTTTATCTTTTCTTCTAGGCTGGTTCTCTATACACATTTCCAAGGGTTCTTAGCATTCGTAGTTCTTATCTAATCACCTAGAGATACANGTTCAAGGGGATGGCACGTTATAGGTGAGGATATTTCCGTAGATGAGAATTATCCATCTATGAGTCCCATGCCTGTATAGGATCGATAAATCATATTTGTTTTCTTATTTTATCTTTTCTTCTAGGCTGGTTCTCTAAACACATTTCCAAGGGTTCTTAGCATTCGTAGTTCTTATCTAATCACCTAGAGATACAGATAGAAAATTTAGTTGAATAAGCATAAGATAAGAGTAAGGGGTCCCTAGGGAGAATGGTTTGGTCATAGACACTTGTTAAACACAATCCTAGCATATTCGATGATTCCTTTTTTTTTTTCTTATTCCTACATTCGCGACATGCGATGGTGATAAGGGCAAAACACATGAGGTATCACCTTTGTTTACCTTATGTTTCCCTGTCCCATTCAACTCAAAAAGAAATGGGAAATCCTTGGTTGGGGGACTCAGCCTGCTATGTCGAAGTCGTCCTTCTATATCTCTTATAGACCCAGCCAGTTGAAGAAAATCTTCCTTCCCAAATCTCAATTATGGAACTTCTGTCCAACTCACAATTCCATCGGGCTGGCAAAGGCTAGCATAAGCAAGCTCNCTTGGTTGGGGGACTCAGCCTGCTATGTCGAAGTCGTCCTTCTATATCTCTTATAGACCCAACCAGTTGAAGAAAATCTTCCTTCCCAAATCTCAATTATGGAACTTCTGTCCAACTCACAATTCCATCGGGCTGGCAAAGGCTAGCATAAGCAAGCTCCCCTAATTCCATTCCACTTGAGGGTTTGCTATGACGGGAAGTTTACATAAGTTTTTTCCTTCTTTTTTTTTTATCTCTATCTGTTTTCAAGTTGTCTAGCTTAAAACATCTGTCAGAGCAAGTCATGTTCTTAATCTCATCACAATCTTCCCTTNGGAGGGTTTGCTATGACGGAAAGTTTACATAAGTTTTTTCCTTCTTTTTTTTTTTTTTTTTATCTCTATCTGTTTTCAAGTTGTCTAGCTTAAAACATCTGTCAGAGCAAGTCATGTTCTTAATCTCATCACAATCTTCCCTTTCTCTCTCCTCCATATCTGTTTTATTAATTCCAAGGGACTTTCTGTGTTCTTCTATCAAGCTAGGCTCTAGGAAAAGCTGTACGCAAAGGTTTGAGCCAGGGTCAATGGACAGGGGTGACACTCGGTCCACTTGATTCAGGGCAGCTCCTTAGCTCTATTTTGATTTGTCAGAGGTGGTAGACATCCAGGAATAGCAACTGATTCAGCTTCCGCTTCTAGGAGATCAAACGGAGCTCAATTAGTTTCTGCTATACAAGAAATAAAAAAACATAACCAATACAAGGAACAATGGAATACCAGACCATATCTGTTTNAGTGGTACACATCCAGGAATAGCAACTGATTCAGCTTCCGCTTCTAGGAGATCAAACGGAGCTCAATTAGTTTCTGCTATACAAGAAATAAAAAAACATAACCAATACAAGGAACAATGGAATACCAGACCATANGGTGGTAGACATCCAGGAATAGCAACTGATTCAGCTTCCGCTTCTAGGAGATCACACGGAGCTCAATTAGTTTCTGCTATACAAGAAATAAAAAAACATAACCAATACAAGGAACAATGGAATACCAGACCATATCCGTTTTTGCGCTACGACAATCTCACTTAAATTACGGGGACCTACACATATTAGTACAATATACTGGGATGTCTGGTTAGAATCACACGTGCGAGTTTCCCTAGTTATTCGTGCATTGCACAAAAACCCTTAATTANCGTTTTTGCGCTATGTCAATCTCACTTAAATTAAGGGGACCTACACATATTAGTACAATATACTGGGATGTCTGGTTAGAATCACACGTGCNTGTTTTTGCGCTACGACAATCTCACTTAAATTACGGGGACCTACACATATTAGTACAATATACTGGGATGTCTGGTTAGAATCACACGTGCGAGTTTCCCTAGTTATTCGTGCATTGCACAAAAACCCTTAATTATTATATAAATTAGAATTTAGTGAGAATTATGTAAATCACATGAGTTGATCTTATCAACTGAATACATTTTGAGTTCGAAAAGTGAAACTCAGTGTTGACCAATGTAGTCGTTATGTCACCAAGTTTGAAATGTGAAATATCGCTAAACTCATGAAAAATAAAATCGATATCATGCAAAAATTNGTGAGAATTATGTAAATCACATGAGTTGATCTTATCAACCGAATACATTTTGAGTTCGAAAAGTGAAACTCAGTGTTGACCAATGTAGTCGTTATGTCACCAAGTCTGAAATGTGAAATATCGCTAAACTCATGAAAAATAAAATCGATATCATGCAAAAATTACACAAATAATCGTAAATTTTAGTTTCATTGATTTATATCTATTAAATATAAAAATAATCAAAATTAATAAAATATATAAATTTTATACATGTCACATTTATTAAATAAAAAACTAGAGATAGTGCCATAGTTGGACCCTTAAAGGTGAGTTGAATTTGTAAGTCTGTTTAGTATTGTTCATTAATATGTTGCGTGCAGTAATAAAGCTTTGGCATATTAAATAAGGCCTAATAGAAAAGACAAGATCGGACAAGTCAGATGACATTTTTTTTTAATATTATTTTGAGTCCACTTTGAAACCATTCATATGAAACAATTCAGTGAACATACGATTACATGACCTAACAAGGCAAAAATGAAACAAGTTTGTACAAATAAACTCGGTGTCTGCTTCCTAAATCCGGAACAAAAGAGATTACACTCATAAATCATAAATAAATTCACTTGTATAATAGTAAGTCACTTGTAAAATTAAGTTCAATAAGAAAATTCAAAGGGTAACCTCATCATGTATTTGACACAACTAATACCTATTTCACAATGCCGCATCAGTCATCAACTTCCGCTTTGATTTCCCTCTGGAGCTCCTCCTTGTACTCCTCAAATGTACGTGGGAAACTCTCCACAGTTCCATTCTCAACTACCCAGATTTCACTCCTCTCTTCGTCATCACAAACACGTGATATTAGCCTAGAATCATGACTGACTAAGACAACCCCACCTGTAAACTCATCAAGCGCATCAGCCAGTGCATCAATGCTCTGCATATCCAGATGATTTGTAGGCTCATCTAATAGCAAAATGTGAGGATTTGACATGGATATTGAGGTGAAGACAACCCGCGATTTCTGCCCCCCAGATAATTTTGCAATTGGGGTGGTGTGATTATGGCCAGGGAGTCCAAATTTCCCAAGTTTTGCACGGACAGCCTCTTGCTTACTGGGTCCTTCTTGATCTGGATGAAGACGAAGAAGATATTGAACAGGTGTTTCATCCATTGTCAAAAGATCAATAAAGTGCTGTGAATATCTCCCAATCCTCAACTTTTGACTCCTTCGTACTTCACCTACATTCGGGACCAGGTCTCCAGCAAGAAGATTAAGCAAAGTTGATTTCCCAGCTCCGTTGGGGCCAACAATAGCAACACGAGTACCCATATCGATACCAACGTCAATGTCAGACAGCCTGAAATCCTCGCGGTTTGGATAACTGAAGCTGACTTCAATTAGCTGCAAAAGTGGTGGTGTTAGTTCAGTGGGTTCAGGAAAGTGAAACTCTACACTGTAATCTCTCCACTTCTGAGGGGCCTCTAGCAGAGGCTCATCCTCATCAACCCTGCCCTTTGCTTTCTTTGACACTTCCCTGGCAGCAGCAGATTTAGCTCGATCTCTGACCTTTTCCTGCTGAGCACGATTCCCAGACCTCTTGGCAGCTTTCAATTGTTTGTCATAAATCTCAAACTTCTTGTTCATCTCTTTGCGACGCTGCTCATATCCACTTTCAAACTCATCAAAATTCCCACGGTATAAGTGCAGTTTCAGGTCATGAAGATGAATAATCTCATTGCAAACTGTGTTGAGGAAATCTCTATCATGCGAGACGACTACCAGAGTTTTCTTCCACCTGCACAAGTACTCTTCTAACCAGAGAACAGCCCTAAGGTCAAGATGATTGGTGGGCTCATCCAACAACAGTAAAGTGGGCTGCACGAAGAGTGCCCTAGCCAATGAAATTCTCATCCTCCAGCCACCACTAAATGACCGGGTAGGACGACCCTGCATATCCTTGGTGAAACCTAAACCAGCAAGAATCTTCGATGCCTGAGCCTCAGCAGCATCCGATCCCATTAGCTGCAATTTTTCATATAGTTCAGCCAGCTTTTCTCCCGCATCATCCGCATCACCATCATCATCAGCTTCATTCTCATCCATGGAAGAAGAATTCTGCAAAGATGCAACCTCTTGTCGGAGCTTGATGAGCTCTTCGTTAGCTGAAACAACTGCTTCAATGGCACTTCGATCATCACCAACTACCTCTTGTTCAACCAAAAGCACATCTATATTTTTTGGTACAGGAATCTTCCTCCAAGCAAGGAGCTTTAACAGAGTAGACTTTCCCTTTCCATTAGGGCCAACCAATCCATACCTCTTCCCGTGAGATATCTTCACTGATGCATATTTTAAGAGTTCTTTTCCTCGTGCGGACACAGAGAAGTTATCTATTGTTATATCCTTGACATTCGCATCAGATTCATCTTCACCATCGAGAACAGAGGCACGACTACCAATAACGACAGTAAAAGCATCATGATCATCCTTAAGAGCTTCCTGTTTGGTCTGCTCAGCAACATGGGAAGCAAGGATGTCCTTCCTTTCTCGTTTTCTCAACTCTTTGTCAGTCATGGAGATGTCAAGAGACTTTGCGTCGCTTCTCTGCTGCCGACTGGGCAATTTATGAACAGCATTCGCTTGCTGCTCTTCTTCAGAGGCATAATCACCATCCTCATCATCAGAGGGAGGGAGATCGATGCCATCAATATAAGAAGGTTTTTTTGGAGCAGCTTTCGACTTGGGTTTACTAGAAGTAGAGCTTGAAGAAGATACTTTCTTAGATTTTTCAGGTTTCCGGTCCATGCTGGCAAGCATGGCAGAGACTGAGAGCTTCTCTTTATTCCCATCTTTGGAAATGTCTTTGTTGCTTGGCTTAGTCTTTGTACTGGCTCCCATCTCATCTGACTTTTTCTTTCCCATTGCAGTGGCTGATCTGTTATGCAGATAGCACAGGAAAAAAAGAATAAATTTGAATGATCGTAATCAAGCTCTTCAGGGTCAAAATACAAACAAATGAGACAGCATTCTGAAGAGGAGTATCCCCGTTTCAAATGCCCAACAATATCTAAGCTTACGACATTGAAGATCTTTGAACCAATACAAAATCATCATGTTCAATACAAAAAGCACAGAAAGTCCATTTTTACAACAGGCACCTATAGGCTTTATGAAAACGAGGGGAAAGAATAGAGAACAGTATTAGAGTAGTAAAGCCTGTCTGCACACTCACTCTTCCTTTTACTTAAAAGGAAAAAATATTAATGGACTGTTTTAGAACATAGCTTACTGAATACAAATCCATGGAAACTGGATTAAAGGACTGGTAAACATCAAAAGTAGGGGGAGAGAGTAATCCCATAATAACATAGCAGAGACGTGGGAATATTTAAAACAAAACAATTTAGTGGTTATTTTAATTTACTCTGTACAAAAAATCCCGTTATATTGTGCTCAAAACTATGTTAATATTACTCCATAAGCACCTATGAATGGCTTATCAGACTGATTATCAAATAATTCACAAACCCCCCCCCCCCAAAAAAAAAAAAAAAAAAAAAAAAAAAAAAAACCCAAAAAAA